CGAATCAATCTTTCCCAGCATCAGGGTCTTTTCAAATGAGTCAGTTCTTTGCATCAGGTGGCCAAAGTATGGGAGTTTCAGCTTCAGCATCAGTCCTTCCAATGAATATTCAGGACTGATTTCCTTTAGGATGGACTTGATGGATCTCCTTGTAGTCCAAGGGACTTTCAAGAGTCTTCTCCAACACCACAGTTCAAAAGCATCAGTTGTTGATGCTCAGCTTTCTTTACAGTCCAATGCTCACATCCATACATGACTACTGGAAAAACCATAGCTTTAACTGCACAGACCTTTGTAGGCAAAGTAATGTCTCTGCTTTTTAATATGCTGTCTAGATAGCTTTTCTTCCAAGAAGCAAGCATCTTTTAACTTCATGGCTGCAGTTACCAGCTGCAGTGATTTTGGAGCCCTCCAAAGTAAAGTCTGTCACTGTTTCTATTGCTTCCCCATCTATTTGCCATGAAGTGATGGGACTCGATGCCATGATTTTAGTTTTCTGAATGCTGAGTTTTAAGCCAACTTTTTCACTCTCCTCTTTCACTTTCATCAAGAGGCTCTTTAGTTCTTCTTTGCTTTCTGCCATAAGAGTTGTGTTGTCATCTGCATATCTGAGGTTATTGATATTTCTCCCGGCAATCTTGATTTCAGCTTGTGCTTCCTCCAGCCCAGTGTTTCTCATGATTTACTCTGCATATAAGTTAAACAAGCAGGGTGACAATATACAGCCTTGACGTACTCCATTTCTGATTTGGAACGAGTCTGTTGTTCCATGTCCAGTTCTAACTGTTGCTTCCTGACCTGCATACAGATTTCTCAGGAGGCAGGTCAGGTGGTCTGGTATTCCCATCTCTTTGAGAATTTTCCACAGTTTGTTGTGATCCACACAGTCAAAGGCTTTGGCATAGTCAATAAAGCAGAAATAGATGTTTTTCTGGAGCTCTCTTGCTTTTTCAATGATCCAACGGATGTTGGCAATTTGATCTCTGGTTCCTCTGCCTTTCTAAATCCAGCTTGAACATCTGGAAGTTCATGATTCATGTACTGTTGAAGCCTGGCTTGGAGAATTTTGAGCAATACTTTGCTAGTGTGTGAGATGAGTGCAATTGTGCGGTAGTTTGAGCATTCTTTGGCATTGCCTTTCTTTGGGATTGAAATGAAAACTGATCTTTTCCAGTCCTGTGGCCACTACTGAGTTTTCCAAATTTGCTGGTATATTGAGTGCAGCACTTTCACAGCATCATCTTTTAGGATTTGAAAGAACTCAACTGGAATTCCATCAGCTCCACTAGCTTTGTTCATAGTGATGCTTCCTAAGACCCACTTGACTTCGCATTCCAGGATGTCTGGCTCTAAGTGAGGGATCATACCATTGTGGTTATCTGGGTCATGAAATTTTTTTTGTATGTTTCATCTATGTATTCTTGCCACCTCTTTTTAACATCTTCAGCTTCCATTAGGTCCATACAATTTTTGTCTTTTATTGTGCCCATTTTTGCATGAAATGCTCCCTTGGTATCACTAATTTTCTTGAAGAGATCTCTAGTCTTTCCCACTCTACTGTTTTCTTCTATTTCTTTGCACGGATCACTGAGGAAAGCTTTCTTATCTCTCCTTACTTTTCTTTGGAACTCTGCATTCAAATGGGTATATCTTTCCTTTTCTGCTTTGCCTTTTGCTTCTCTTCTTTTCACAGCTATTTGTAAGACCTCCTCAGACAATCATTTTGCCTTTTGCATTTCTTTTTCTTGGGATGGTCTTGATCCCTGCCTCCTGTACAATGTCACAAACCTCCGTCCATAGTTCTTCAGGCACTCTGTCTATCAGATCTAATCCCTTGAGTCTTTTCCTCACTTATACTGTATAGTCATAAGGGATTTGATTTAGGTCATACCTGAATAGTCTAGTGGTTTTCCCTACTTTCTTAAATTTAAGTCTGAATTTGGCAATAAGGAGTTCATGAATTGAGCCACAGTCTGCTCCCAGTCTTGTTTTTGCTGATTGTATAGAGCTTCTCCATCTTTGGCTGCAAAGAATATAATCAATCTGATTTCAGTTTTGACCATCTGGTGATGTCCATGTGTGGAGTCTTCTCTTGCATTGTTGGAAAAGGGTGTTTGTTATGACCAGTATGTTCTCTTGGCAAAACTCTATTAGCCTTTGCCCTGCTTCATTCTGTACTCCAAGGCCAAATTTGCCTGTTACTCCAGGTGTTTCTTGACTTCCTACTTTTCCATTCCAGTTCCCTAAAATGAAAAAGACATCTTTTTTTGGTTCTAAAAGGTCTTGTAGGTCTTCATAGAACTGTTCAACTTCAGCTTCTTTAGCATTACTGGTCAGGGCATAGCCTTGGATTACCGTGATATTGAATGGTTTGCCTTGGAAACAAACAGAGATCATTCTGTCATTTTTGAGATTGCATCCAAGTACTGAATTTCAGACTCTTTTATTGACTGTGATGGCTACTCCATTTCTTCTAAGGGAGTCTTGCCCATAGTAGTAGATATAATGGTCATCTGAGTTAAATTCACCCATTCCAGTCCATTTCAGTTTGCTGATTCCTAAAATGTCAATGTTCACTCTTGCCACGTTCTGTGATCAGGGAGATGGCACTCAAGCCCACATAGGCCTTTAATAGTTAATGTGAGTTAGTGAGTAAAAGGTTACTCTGTTGTGTCCAACTCTCTGCGACCTCATGGACTATACAATCCATGGAATTCTCCAGGCCAGAATACTGGAGTGGAGATCCTTCCTTCTCCAGGGGATCATCCCAACCCAGGGATTGAACCCAGGTCTCCCACGTTGCACACGGATTCTTTACTGAGCCACAAGGGAAGCCCAAGAATACTGGAGTGGGTAGCCTATCCCTTCTCCAGCAGATCTTCCCAACCTAGGAATCGAACCGGAGTCTCCTGAATTGCAGGAGGATTCTTTACCAACTGAGCTACCAGGGATAGTTCATTATAAAACTTCAGCTGGTCTAGAATCTGGCTGCCAGTGCAGGGGACATGGGTCCAGTTTCGGGTCCAGGAAGATTCCACATGCTGCAGATCTACTAAGTCTGGGTGCCCCAACTACTGAAGCCCTCATGTCCTGGAGCCCATGCTCTGCAGCAAGGGAGGCCAAAGCAATGAGAATCCAGGCACTGCACCAAAGAATGGCCCCTGATCATTAGAACTAGAGCAGATCACATGCACAGCAATGAAGGCCCAGTGCAGCCAAAAATAAATAAACACATAAAATGAAAATAAAAACCTTTAGCTGTATTAGTCTTACTGCTTCCATGATGGCGCCAGTAATTCCCATGTACTGACACAGGTGAAACATTCCGTCTTTGCTCTGGAGGAACTGTGCCTCCTTAGGTTTCAGACTGTTTAGTTGACTTAACTTTGACTCAGCTCTCTGATTCAACTTTTTGGTTCAAAAAAGCTGTGATCTTGCAGTTTGTCTTGCTTTTCCTAATTGGCATTTTTGCAACCATAGAGGAAGTGGACATTTCTAAAAATTAATTTGTCTTGCTATTTCCTCCTGCCATCCCTGCAATTAGTATTGTGAACAATTCTCTTCATCACAAAACCATTATTTTAAATAGCTGGACAGTATTAATTTATATTACTATGGCAACGTTTTCAACCTAACTCATATTATTAGGCATTATAATAGACTATGTATTTTTTTCCCCAGCATCTTTACCCCAACCCTCTTCTTTCATTAGAGGGTTTCTCGTCTCCAAGTTGTTGTGGTTCGATGGAGCTGTCAATCACAGTAAGCCATAACACTGGCCTCAGAATGACCCAACAACTCCCTATCATGGTATAAGTAAGCAAGTACGTTCAGTTGTGTCTGACTCTTTTGCAACCCCATGGACTGTAGCCCACCAGGATCCTCTGTCCATGGAATTCTCCAGGCAAGAATACTGGGGTGGGTAGCCATTCCCTTCTCCAGGGGATCTTCCTGACCCAGATATTGAACCTAAGTCTCCTGCATTGCAGGCATATTCTTTACCATTAGTGTCACTTGGGAAGCCTTATCATAGTATCCTGGCTACAATAGTTGATTCAGAAGTGAGTGTGTGAAAAAAGGAAAAAAATCTTTCTTTGGAAATTTATATAACTTAAATGAAAATTTTTGTCCACTGAAATCCTAGAGCTGAAGGAATATGGATTGAGGATGCACAGTTGCCATCTTCCTCATCACTTAAAGTAAATCCTCTGTGTGGCAGGAAATGAACAAATAAGATGGAAAAATTGGGGGTGGGTGAAATTAATCCTGGCAGAATCAAGGCTCCAATTCCAGGTCATAAAGTTTTCAGAGTTCCTCTGATTCAGTTCTTTCTTTCTTTTTAAAAATATTTTTATTTGTTGGGTCTTAGTTGCTCAGGATATTTGATCTTTGTTACTGTTTGCAGGTTAAACTATAAAGAAAGTTGAGCGCTGAAAAATTGATTCATTTGAACTGTGGTGTTGGAGAAGACTCTTGAGAGTCCCTTGGACTGCAAGGAGATCCAACACGTCCATCCTAAAGGAAATTAGTCCTGAATATTCATTGGAAGGACTGATGTTGAAGCTGAAACTCCCATACTTTGGCCACCTGATGCAAAGAACTGACTCATTTGAAAAGACCCTGATGCTGGGAAAGATTGAAGGCAGGAGGAGAAGGGGACAACAGAGGATGAGATGGTTGGATGGCATCTCCGACTCAATGGACATGAGTTTGAGTAAACTCTGGGAGTTGGTGATGGATAGAGGCCTGACGTGCTGTAGTTCATGGGGTCACAAAGAGTCTGACATGAATGAGCAACTGAACTGAACTGAACTACTGCTTGAAGGATCTTTAGTTGCCGCATCTGGGATCTAGCTCCCTGAGCAGAGATTGAACCTGGCCCTGTGCATTGGGAGCATGGAGTCTTAGCCATTGGACCACCAGGGAAGTTCTCATTCTTTCTTTATGTCTGAAAAGTTTACGTTTGAGTCACTCAGTCATGTCCAACTCTTGGTGACCCAATGGACCATAGCATGCCAGGCTACTCTGTCCATGGATTTTTCCAGGCAAGAATACTGGAGTGGATAGCCATTCCCTTCTCCCAGGGGTATTCCCAATCCCGGATTGAACCTGTGTCCCCTGCATTGCAGGCAGATTCTTTACCATCTGAATCACCAGGAAAAACCTTTTTTATGTCTTATTCTCCCCAGTTATTAAAAACTCTTTTTTGTTTAAGTAGGCTTGATTCAGATTGGTCACTGGTGTTAGAAAGTATCCTAACTAATTTATACTTTAGGTGGCTTTCAAGTCTTGCCATTATAAAGAGCACTGGGAAGACACTCAGTGGATATATTTTCTGCATACGTGCCTGCTCTAGTTCCCCATAAAAATATGTTCCCAGAATAAGAGTCATTGTGTCAAAGAATATGCAAATCAGTGAGGCTCTTGACCAGTATTGTGAAATTGCTCTTTGAAGATTGTCCAATTTATATTTCCTCTATGGTAGGTATAGTTTCCTATTTTCATACAGTCATGATAATAGTGAATAGTATTTTTGTGTGTGTGTGTGAATAGTATTTTTAAAAAATCCACCATTTGGTAAACGCCTACTGCTTTGAATTGATACTTATCCCACACCTGTGTTTCCAAATACATCTTAATAGAGTAATAAGAAGAGGAGAAAAAAAGATCAAATGTGAATGGGAATTTGGAAAGAAATCAGAAGGAAAGGGAAGGACCTCAAATGTGTTCTAAGAGGTTTACCGCTGTGAATACATCAGCCCTGGTTTTTCCCCTGAACAGGTTTTTGAGACTGGCTGAGCCAGTATGAATGTTTCAGGGAGAAATAAATTTTAAGAAGTGAATAGAAGCCCTACCCTGGTATACCACCTCCGCCTGAGGCCCCAAAAGGTGATTGGCTGTGACATCCTCATTGCTCCACATCCTACCTGGGGGGTTAATATATATATATGATATATGCTACAGGGAGTGAACCAACCTCTGGCTCCTGCTCCTGAGGACTCTGTTACCCACAAAGATGTGGGCTCAGCTCCTTCTAGGAATATTAGCCCTGTTGCCAGCCTCGGCAGGAAAATTTCTCCCGTAAGTGCTTGGTGTGTCAGGGGTGATTCAGGGTAGGTGGCATCTTCATCCATCTTTCTAAGACATAACTATGGGGGGGGGGGCAGGAGATAACTTTTGGTTTATTTTAATGCCCTTTCATCTTTTTCTTTCTTTGGTTTTATTTCTCCTTTATCTAGAGAGAAAAGCTAAGATGCCAAGAAGAAACTTTAAAATATATGATAATATCAAAATACAGTAGCCTCCCACTGCCCTGATCTCTGTTGTTCTGGTTGTTCAGTTCTTCTTGCTCTTTCTTTATGTCTGAAAAGTGAAAGTGTGAGTCACTCAGCCATGTCCGACTCTTTGTGACCCCATGGACTGCAGCACTCCAGGCTTCCCTGTCCTTCACCATCTCCTGGAGCCTGCTCAAACTCATGTCCATTGAGTTGGTGATCCCATCCGACCATTTCAACCTCTCCTTCTCCTCCTGCCTCTAATCTTTCCCATGTTCAGGGTCTTTTCCAATGAGTGGGCTCTTCGCATCAGGTAGTCAGAGTATTGGAGCTTCAGCTTCAGTATCAGTCCTTCCAATGAATATTCTGGGTTGATTTCTTTTTGGATTGATTTCCTTTAGAATTGACTGGCTTGGTCTGCTTGCAGATCCCAAATAGAACTCACTTCCTCCTTGGTACCCTGTGCCTAGGTTCTCCATGGTGGCCTATGGTGGGGGTGGGGGGAGTGTGAGTATAAGGCTGAGTTATTTGTTATTTTTCTCCTTCTCCCTTATAGAAAATAAGGCTCATAATGGCAAGTGCTTTGTCTCTTTAATTCATTGCTACATGCTGAGTACTCAGGATAGGGATTAATTAATTTTGCATTGAATAGATGAGTCATAACTGCCCTGAAATCCTTTTGCTTCTTTAGTAGAAGTATAGTTTTGATGGCTCAGATGGTAAAGAATCCACCTGCAATGCAGGAGACCTGTGTACGATCCCTGGGTTGGGAAGATCCTCTGGAGAAGGGAATGGCTACCCACTCTAGTATTCTTGCCTGGAGAATCCCATGGACAGAGGAGCCTGGTGGACTACAGTCATGGGGTTGCAAACAGCCAGAGAGACAACTTAGTGACTAATACTTTTTCACTTTCTTTAGTAGAAACTATCTGGTGACGTTACCGGCCCATCTTAAGTTCCCCTCTACTCAGAGGGTTTGCTTGGATCTGAGTCCTGGTTACGACAATGTAAAATTCATTGTTACTCTGGAGACCAAGGGCAAGACTCACACATTGCTCCAACAGTTTGGACTAAAGACGAGACACTTACATTGCTCGTCCTTTTTGGTAAGTACAGGCTTAGCCCAACTCTCGTCCTCAGTTTTCCTATTCTCCTCCCTGGATGCACTATAATTTGTCTTTAAGAATGTTTTCTGTTATCTTACTTTTTGCCATGGCTTCTAAACTCATCTCTCATCAACTTCAGTTCCTGGCCATAACTTCTGATATTATTCTCTGGCAACATTTTTTTTTCTTTCTTTTTTAAAAAAATTTTTAAATTACAGAAATGTATGATAGCACATTGACAGGTGATTTGAAAAATACAGAAAAAAGTTACATAGAGTTCCACTACATATTACAATTGTTTTTCTAAGTAGATAAATTAAGATTTTTACTTGGAGTTTTAATATCAGATTTCTGGCAACTTTCTCATGGCTCCAACCTTGCCACCCCCATCAACTCATTCCTTTCCTTTTACTCTCCCTCTTGGGTTGAGACTAGTTGATTCTGTCATTTTCCCACTCCCACCCCCAGTCTCCTGATTCTCTCCAGAGCTCTCCCCTGTCTTGCCCAGGTACCACTTCCTTCTGGGGGCACAGAAGAAGTAGCCACCGTCCGGGTGAGAGGAACTGGAAATAACGTCTACTTTGAGGAGAAGAAAAAGGTTCTGATTCAGAGGCAGCAGAATGGCATCTTTATACAAACTGACAAACCCATCTACAGCCCAGGGCAGGAAGGTAAGAGGCACACAGGTGGGATGAGACAAAAGCCAGGGCGTATCTTCACACACTCGTAGAAGGGCTTTGCGGATTGGTGGTAGCCCCATGGACCGAGGAAGAGATGGAAGGATGGAGGAAGCCTGGAGGGATAAAGGGTTATAGGGGCTGAATGCAGGCAGTGCTGCCCAAGCAAAAGAGTAGTAGGTGGAGCTGCTACTGTGTGTGTGTATGTGTGTGTGTGTGTAAAACAAAATACAGGGAATTCCCTGGCAGTCTAGTGGTTAAGACTCCGCATTCTCACTATCGTGGGTCCAGGTTCAATCCCTGACTGGAGAATGAAGACCCTGCAAGACCCAATGAGTGGCCAAAAAATTCCAAATAAGCAAATAAGTAAAACAAAATACAGATTTCTCCTGGAAAGGAATTTGGTGGGTGTAACTGGATCACTGGGTTCATAGCAAGCTGCCAGTATAAGAATCAGAAAACATCAAGGGCATTTGGCCCAAGCCCTAGGATTTATATTTGCTCCCTCTTCCTTTGAAGCGGATTCCATCCTGAACTTTCAAAGTCAGGAGCTGTGACTGCTGGGGCGTTAGCTGTCTCTCAGACTAGGTTTTATTTCAAAAGCAAAACCTGGTAGGATTTTGCTGACTCAGAAGTATGTATGAGAAAGCAAAAGGGTGGAAGAAAGAAAGATTCTGAGAGGTAGGGGAGGGGGAAAATCCCTTTTGTTGATGACACCCATTTCCTTCTAGTGCGTTTCCGTATCGTCACCCTCACCAGCACCTTTGTTCCAGTGAATGACCAGGTAAGAGTTTCACTGGGAAGAAGGACCTGGCAAGGGAACGCATGAGGGCAGACTGTAGAATGAGGGAGGAGAGATTCTTTCCAGGGGAGGAGGCCCTTTAGAAGCAGAACACTTGTGGATTCTACAGTCAGGGAGCTCGTCCAAACCTACCTGCCCTCATCTGCCTGAAAGCAGGCAGCAGCATTTCACTCTCAGGCTTGACATCTGAAAGCATCGATTAGGTTAACATTCTTAAGAGACGGTTCCATTTGCCTCTGTTAAGTAAGAGTTTTTTCAAACGTCAAGACGTTCCCTCCAGGAGTGACACCTAGTGGCTCTGCAGTTCAAATACTAAGAAGTAATTCAGGAATGCTTTCTTCTTCTTCTTTTTTTTTTTTTGTTTTAACTATGAGGCAAGGTAATTGATAACATAGACAATTTTCTTAAGCAACGTTCTGTGCCAAAGGTAAAAATGCGGTAACATTTGGCGAATACTTAAATTTTCCTCGAACAATTCAACCACTAGAATCATAAGTCATAAGATTTGGTTTGCTCTGAACTTAGGGCTTGTGTCATTTCTATACACATTAGAAGTGCTGGGTTGGCCAAAAAGTTCGTTTGGATTTTACATACCATCTTACGAACTTTTGGCCCAACCCAATACCTCTCAGACACCCCCAGCTGCCTTCTTTCTCCTTTAGTTACAGCCCATGTATTCAAATGAAAATTTTAAAGATAATCATGGAGAAAGCATTGCTTATATTCCATCTCCATGTTCCCAGGCTGCTGTTTCCTTTCTTGATGTACAGGGAGGCTGTAAGATTATTGTTGATCAGTAGCTTCTCCAACCACTACTTTCTTTCCTGATTTAGAATTCATTTTAGTTTCTCCTTCCTATCACCTGTATTCTTTCCTGATCACTTCGGTATAATATTAAGTTGTTGTTTAGTCGTTCAGTCATGTCCGACTCTTTATGACCCCATGGACTGTAGCCCACCAGGCTCCTCTGTCCATGGGATTCTCTAGGCAAGAATACTGGAGTGGGTTGCCATTTCCTTCTCCAGGGGATCTTCCCGACACAAGGATGAATCCCAGTATTCTGTTTGGCAGGCAGATTCTTTACCACTGAGCACCTTGGAAGCCTTTATTCTAGAGCTGAGATGAGGATCAGTTCAGTTCAGTTGATAAGTTGTGTCTGACTTTTTGCAACCCCACGGACTGCGGCACGCCAGGCTTCCCTGTCCATCACCAACTAGAGGCCAAGGGTCAAAGTGTGGCCACAGCTAGTTATTTTAGACTCTACTGCCCCCTGGATGTCGATCTCATTAGCTACCCCTCTTCTGTTGTCTTGCCTCTGTTCAAATTGTGCTGAATTACAGGTGCTGTGATTTCCAAACTTCTCTGCCCTCTTTCTGTTGTCAAATTACTCTTCTCTCCACATACCATTTCTCTAGTCAGCCCCGACTCCAAGTTGCAACTTGGAGCCCTGAAAATCTGAGACACTGAATTTGGAACTCCAAATGAAACTTTGCAATTAACTAAAAATGTTTTACTAAGAAAAGGAGTGGTAGGACTTCCCTGGTGGTCCAGCAGCTAAGACTTCATGCTTCCAATGCAGGGGGGCCCAGGTTCGATCCCTGGTCAGGGAACTAGATCCCATATGTGGCAACTAAGAGTTTGAATGCTGTAGTTAAAGATTCCCACATGCTGGAACTAAGACCCGGCACAGCCAAATAACTTTTTTTTTTTTTTTAAAGAAGGGGAGTGACAAAAATTGTGAGTTTACAGAGCTCAATATTTCATCCTCAAGCAACAAAAGTATACGGGCTAGTAACTGATTGTATCTAGCTTTGTTGCTATACCTAGTTATTCAGAAACCTCAGGTAGCTTCCAGTGAAAATGCTACCTTTCTGGTTGAACACTTACTGGTGTCCAAATCTGCTTGACTCTTTAAAAAAAATGATTTTGTTCTTGGAGGAACTGGTTTTTCTTCCCCCCTAGAATTTATAGCAATGGCAGTAATCTTGGTGACACTTGCCTCCTTATCGTGTATATAGCTAGGTTTGTGCATGTCCTGTTCTTCCCTTTAGGAAGAGGGGCAGAATGTCCCCCCACAATACCCCCCAGTCCTAAATGTACCACTTGGGCATGTGGATTCTTTTGAGCTGAAGGCTGGGTTCACCGAGAAAAGAGCTATTACTGAGATAACTTTTTTCCTTCCAGTTTTATTGAGATGTAATTGATATACAACAGTGTATAAGTTTAAGGTGTACAGCATAATGATTTGACTTAGATACATCATGAAATAATGACCATAATAAGTCTAGTGAACATCTGTCTTCTCATATGAGAACCTGCCTGCTATGTAGGAGTCACAGGTTTGATGCCTGGGTTGGAAAGATCCCTTGGAGAAGGGAGTGGCAACCCACTCCAATATTCTTGCCGGGAAAATCCCGTGGACAGAGAGCCAGGCAGGCTACAGTCCATGGGGTTGTGAAAGAGTTGGGCATGACCTAGTGACTAAACAACACTCATATAGATATGAAACTAAAGAAACAGAAGACAATGTTTTTTCCTTGCGATGAGTAGTCCCATTTAAAAGATTTTGCTTGTGTTCCCCTTACCTGAGGAGACATCTCCAATAAAATATTACCAAGGCCAATGTCAAAGAGTTTACTGCTTATATTTTCTTCTAGAAGTTTTATGGTTTCAGTTCGATTGTTTAGTAACATATTGGTTAGACTCAAAGTGTTTGTGGGGTTTTTTTTTTTTTTTTGTAGTTGATTTTTAGTCTCATAGTGTTGTGGTTGAAAAAGATTCTTGATATGATTTCAGTTTTCTTAAGTTTACTGACTTTTTGTATTCCATCATGTGTCTATCATGTCACAATATTCCATTTGCACTTGAAAAGAATGAATATTCTGCTTTGGGATGAAATATTCTATATTATATAGAATGTTCATTTGGTCTAATAAATTTCCAAAGGCCATTGTTTACTTACTGAGTTTCTCTCTGAATGCCTTGTCCATTGATGTACATGGGGTGTTAAAGTCCCCTACTATCATTGTGCTACTGTTAATCTCTCCCTTTATGTCTGTTAATGTTTGCTTCCTTTAGGTGCCTGTATCTTTTAAAAAGAATATCTTAAAATATTATTATAACATCTGAGGAAATTAAGAAAAATTATTTAGTATCATTCATATAATATTCATTTCTAAGTTTCCAACTAACAAATTTTTTTTTCCAAACTAAGCTCTGATCAGATTCATGCATTATATTTGGTTGTTACATTTAAAAGTTTTCTCATATTCTAAGCTAATCCCCCTTATTTTCTTATTAGTTTGACTTTTTTGAGAGAGAGAGAGAGAGGTGATGTCAGGCTAGATGACTTATAGAATGTTCCCATTATGGAATATGATATTTACTTTTGAGGAAGCCTAGGTGGCAGGGCTTCCCAGGTGGCGCTAGTAGTAAAACAAACAAACAAACAAAAAAAAACCCGCCTGTCAATGCTGGAGGCAAAAGAGATGCAGGTTGATTCCTGGGTGGGGAAGATCCCCTGGAGAAGGGAATGGCTACCCACTCCAGTATTCTGGCCTGGAGAATCTCATGGACAGAGGAGCCTGGTGGGCTATGGTCCACAGAGTCTCACAGAGTTGAATACAACTGAAGCAACTTAGCATAGCAGCATAGTTGTCTTATGGAATATTCAATATCCTTGATTTGCCTGATTACTTCTTACTGTGTAATATAGCTTATTCTTTTATCTTCTGAAGGCAGTTCTGAAGTCTTAATTAGTCTTAATTAAACTAAACTTTTGGTAAAAATATTTGGTTAAAAAGATAGATAATGTTGGGAACCTCAAATATATCACTTCAGGAGGTACATACCATCAGGTTGTCCCATTATTAATGATGGTGAGTTTGATTACTTAGTTAGGGTGATGGCAGACTTATTTCTCCAGTGGTAAGATGTGTCATTTTTTTTAAATTAACGAGTAATTTGGGATGACACTTTGACACCTAGCACAAGGACTCATTCTCCAATTAAACCTAGTGGTTTTAATGTCCATTTGCTTGAGGAAATGACACATGATCCTTTGATGGAGCTATTTTAAACATTTTTTAAAAATTATTTTGCACTGCTTGAAAGTAAGATTCTTGCCCACTGGTGTTCAGAAAGTAGAGGAGGAGGCTAGGAGATAGTTGGCTCCTAAGAAGAAGTTCAAATATGAGGGAGTCTCCAGAGAATGAGATGGTGGATAGCATCACCATGATTTGATGGACATGAATCTGAGCAAACTCCGGGAGACAGTGAACGACAAGGGAGCCTGAAGTGCTGCAGTCCATGGGGTTGCAAAGAGTCGGACACAAGTTAGCAACTGAACGACAACCTGCACCACCAGATACTAATACTTTCTTTTAGTACATGTTGTGGAGCATTGAAGGATGCTGAGGGTCAGAAGTTTCATTTCTTCAAAGTTTTTGGAGACTGGCAATTCCTTTAGGAAAGCTCTTCTTTCTCCTTTCCCAACCAATAAGTCTTTGCCCCGTTGTTACTCTTACCAAGGCGCAAAAGAGCCATTTTAGAAAGGAAGGGGTAGGCAACAGAGAGAGAGGCCTTTGTGAACTTTTTGCTTTCAGCAAGCCTACCCTTGTTGCTAGTGCTGCTTTAACCCTTATTATCTGGTTTTCCTTTTCAGTACTCCATTGTGGAACTGCAGGTAAGTAGAAGTTTCTTTCTTTTTTGCTGTCCTCTGTGGAGAAGGTGGTTGGTGCTAAGCCTCAAAGCCAGCAACAACCGTGGGATCTTGGCCCAGAGCCTGAGACTTTGCACCGATTCCACCTGAGCTGTGCCTGTTCTTTTGCCTCTGCCCAGCCCGCCCCTCAACCTCTGTAAATAAGGACAGCAACCTCTGTAGTGACGAACCTCCCTATTCTGATTCCCGCAACTTCTCTGTGCTGTGTCAGTCCAGCAGAGCTTGGTTCGGTACTCCTCTTAGTCTTTGGGATGGCTAATATCACAGCCACTGAACATGACAAGGATACCTGTGACAAGTGTTAAGAAAGAGGCAACTCCTCACAGTACCCCCTCCATTTTTCCACCAAATTACCTCTCTTTCAGGTATCTTACAGTCAGTCCTTCAGAGTTACTTGTCTTAAGGGACCAAGCATTAGCCTTCTTTGTAAAGAACATCTTACATAAAGCATGTTATCCTGGATAACATTCTGAAACTGGAACATTTCAAAGAACCTAGTCTAACTATGTGAATCCACCAAGGACCCTTTTCTTCCTGGACGCAGACCACAGGGGTCATGAACAGTGGGTGGGATTCTTTACTTGCTTTTTGCTTCTTTACCTGCTTTCTGCAGTGCAGGGTGGGAATCAAAGAGGCAGGCATGTCATGAGATTTCTTTTTCTTGGGTACAGGATCCAAATAACAATAGGATTGCACAGTGGCTGAACGTGGTGCCCAACCAAGGCATCGTAGACCTGTCCTTCCAGCTAGCACCAGAGGCAACTCTGGGCACCTATAGTGTGGCCGTGGCTGATGGCAAGACATTTGGCACCTTCATTGTGGAAGAATATGGTAGGTGGGAGAATTAGTAGGTCAGAGTGTTGGACATGATCTTGTGTAAAAACAAGCAAAGGTCAAGTGAAACTTACTATGGAACTAGGTCAAAGATGGCAGAAGATTTTACTTCCAGTGGAGCCTCATCACCAATCCAATGGACATGAACTTGGGCGAACTCTGGGAGATGATGAGGGACAGGGAAGCCTGGCGTACTGCAGTCCATGGGGTTGCAAAGAGTCAGACATGACTTGATGACTGAACAACAATAATATACACTCATTGTAACACATTAGCATAAGTTAAGTGATACACCCACTAGTGCCATGACAGTTCCCAGGCTGACCATCAAAGATAAGAAAGTGGGCTGTGAACCAGCCTAGAAATCTCCATCTCTTCCCCCAAATAGTTGGATTACTCTTCCCGCTCCTTAGCCTATGAAATTTTTGCTGTTGTTTAGTTGCTAAGTCATGTCCAACTATTTGGTGACCCCATGGACTGTAGCCCTCCAGGCTCCTCTGTTGGTGGGATTTTCCAGGTAAGAATACTGGAGTGGGTTGCCATTTCTTTCTCCAGGGCATCTTCCTGACCAAGAGGGTCAAACCAGCATCTCCTGCATTGGTAGGTGGATTCTTTACTGCTGAGCCACCAGGGAAGTCCAGCCTATGAAATTACCCAGCCCGTACACACTAACCATCCCATATTTTCATGTCTCTCCCTTTCTGAGATGGCCCGCACTCTGTCTGTGGTGTGCATTTCTCTTTAAAAAAATCTAATTCTTACCTTTAAAAAAAAGGGATTATTTATTCATGTTAGTACTAAATCAGTAACTTTGGGAGGATTTTACCTTAATAATGCACCATTAATTCAATTAGCTGGGCTTCCTTGGTGGCCCTAGTGGTAAAAAATCCTCCTACCAATGCAGGAGTTCCGGGTTGCATCCCTGGATCAGGAAGATCTCCTGAAGTAGGAAATGGTACCCCACTCCAGTTTATTCTTGCCTGGAAAATTCCAAGGACAGAGAAGTCTACAGTCCATGGGGCTGCAAAGAGTTGAACGTGATTGAGCAATTTAATTATATAATTAATTATCACTGTTTTATACCCCTCTGTTCACTACCTGTGTAGTCAAACTTTCTTCCTCTTCATTTTCCATGTCTCCACTCTTTCCAGTGCTGCCTAAGTTTAAGGTGGAAGTGGTGGAACCCAAACAGTTATCTATGGCGGAAGACTCTTTCTTAGTAAAAGTTTGTTGTAGGTAAGAATAAAGTTCTGGATCCACTGAGGATGAAAGCTATATTGAGAGATGTTGTGATCAAGTATTATGGGGAGAGGATTGTGGAGGTAGTGGTTAAATCTTGTGATGTTTTATGTGGCTCAGAGTCACAAGTTCCGCAAAAACATACTTTTTTAAAAAATTGTTTTTTATGTGGACCATTTTTTAAAAAGTCTTTATTGACATCTGTTACAATATTGCTTCTGTTTTATGTTTTGGTTTTTTGGCCATGAGGCATGTGGGATCTTAGTTCCCAGACCAGGGATTGAACCCGCACCCTCTGCATCAGAAGGTGAAGTCTTAACCACTGAACCACCAGGGAAATCCCAGGGACAGATTATCTAATTGCATTTTTGTGCTTACTTTCCTCTGCTTTCTCAGCTGGCATTATTGGTTTAGAGCCTACTGTGTGTAGAGCACAGTATTGAATCCCATGGGAAGTAGGAGTAAGGAAAAAGAAAGACACTGCTGTCCTTTGGGTGGCTTTTATTGTGCAATGGCAATACTCTAAAGCTTTAAGTAAAGCAGAGATGTGAATGAGAGCTGGAGAAAGGTGGGACTGTCAGAGCGCTTTCCGAGATGGGCATGTGAAAGAAAGGAAAAGTGTTTGGGGAGGAAGGCCTGGATCACAGGTGGACTTGCCTCACTCTGACTCCTCATGCTTTTCGGGGTTAGGTACACCTACGGAAAGCCCATGCAAGGAGTAGCGCATGTATCGGTGTGTCAAAAGCCATATATTTACCGGTATCTGGATCCAGAACGGGAATATTTACCTGACAGATGCAAGAATGTCTCTGGAAAGGTGAGTAAAACAGGATGTAGAAAAGGAAACTTATTCCTATGTCTTAAAGAGTAAGTATGTAGGTACCAATATAGAAAGGTGGTTAAAAACACCCAAAGTAGAAATAATCTCATGTGATTAGTACCCCAGTTCTAAAGAACACAGAAGTCTTTTTACCCCCCAAAGATAAAGCTCTTTTAGAATCTGCCTTGGGACCAAGAGATTAACCTAAACCCTTAGAAGATAACAATTTTTCTGTTCTGAAGGTGGTTCTTTCCTCCTTCTCATATCTTGGAACTTCCAAGTCATGTATGGGTGTATGCTTCATGTTGTGGAATACTTTTTCTATTTTAAAGGTGGAGAAACTGGGAATTCCCTGGAGGTCTAGTGGTTAGGACTCCATGCTTTCATTGCCAAAGGCCCAGGTTTAATCTCTGGTTGGGGAACTAAGATCTCATAAGCCATGTGGGACCAAAAAAAAAAAAAATTGAGAAACTGAAGTATAGAGTTAAGAAATTATTTTCTTCTACAGGACATCATGAGTTAGAAGTAGAGATTAGGGTCTTCCCTGGTGGTCCAGTGGTTAAGAATTTGCCTTCTGATGCAGAGTATGTGGGTTCAATCCCTGATCAGGGAACTAAAGATTCCACATGCTGCTCAGCAGCTAAGCCTGGGAGCCATAACTATTGAATCCTGCACCACGACTAGAGAGCCCGTGTGCCCTAGAACCTGTAAACCCAAACAGATAGCCTGTGTGCTGCAATGGAAGATCTCCTGTGTCACACCTAAGACCAATGCAGCCAAGTAAATAAATAAATTAAAAAAGAAGTAGAGATTAGGTTATTCACCCTCTTTCTTCCTCTCTCTCTCTTTCTCTGATTGCCTCACTAGACTGACAAAGCAGGATGCATCTCAACTTCTGTGGCCATGTCTATGTTCAACCTCACTGGGTATTTTTACAGACAAGACATCAATATCATGGCTACTGTGGTGGAGGAAGGGACAGGTAAGTGGGATGCTCCTTGGTTCATTAAGAAAAGGGAAAGGAAAAGAATTGTCCAAGAGAGAGACCCTGTATAGTCAAAGCTATGGTTTTTCCAGTAGTCATGTATGGATGTGAGAGTTGGATCATAAACAAGGCTGAGACCCAAAGAATTGATGATTTCAAATGGTGGTGCTGGAGAAGACTCTTAAGAGTCCCTTGGACTGCAAGGAGATCAAACCAGTCGATCCTAAAGGAAGTCAACCTTGAATATTCATTGAAAGGACTGATGCTGAAGCTGCAACACTTTTGCCGCCTGATTCAAAGAACCAACTCATTGGAAAAGACCCTGATGCTGGGAGAGATTGAAGGCAGGGGGAGAAGTGGGTTGACAGGATGAGATGGTTGGATGGCATCACTTGCTCAAATGGACATGAGTTTGAGCAAATTCCTGGAGTTAGTGAAGGACAGGGAAGCTTGGTGTGCTGCAGTCTGTGGGGTCGCAAAGATCGGACATGATTTAGTGACTGAACAACAACAGCAACTCGGAGGACTCAAGACTCACCTTCATCAGTGCTTAGAAGGGGCTCCGTTCTAAGTTCACAGTCAATGGGAAATGTCAGACTTCATCTGCCATCCATTCTCAAAAGTTTGGGAAAGAGGCGTTGGTTTAGATCTTTGGTCAGAATGATATTCATCTTCTCACTTCCTGTGGCACCATCCTTTCAGGTAGTCTTATGTTAAACATGAAGATGAGGATGTTAGGTATTTAGATCATCATACATCTGGTTTCCCTCTGCAGGAGTGGAGGCCAACACCACTCGGGATATATACATCTCTTCACAAATGGGATCCATGACCTTCGAAGACACCAATAATTATTATTACCCCAATTTCCCCTTCAGTGGAAAGGTATGTTAAACTCATCTCTGCTCAGACAGAAAATGCTTAACCACCTTGTCAACTCCTTCCTGAACACATATTAACTTAGCATTTTTCTAAGTACTCTATATGTATTCACTTTAATCTGTACAACAATCCTGAGTTAGACCTTATTATTGGCCCCATTTTACAGACAAAAGGCTGAGACACAGAGAGATTAGTGAGGTTAGGTGATTTTCCCAAGGTTATACAGCTCATAAGTGGTAATTATGGTCACAGCTAGGCAGCCTGCCTCTAGAGCAACAATCCCCAACCTTTTTCACACCAGGGACTGCTTTTGTGGAAGATGTGGGGGGGATGGTTTTAGGATGATTCAAGTGCATTACATTTATTGTGCACTTTGTTTCTATTATTCGTACATCAGCTCTACTTCAGATCAGCAGGCATTAGATCCTGGAGGTTGGAGACCCCTGTTCTAGAGTATATGCTTAATTCCTAGCACTGTGTGTCCTTAATCTCACATGAGATGTGCCTTAAATACTAATGTGACTTCAATGCCCCTCCCAATGCCAGGGGTTCACCTCCTCCTGTGTCAGTCTTTGAATTTTAGAGCTGCAAGTTACCTGTTGAGATCATTTAGTCTGAGTTTCTGAATCTAGGCAAGGTTAATATCAAACTTCCTGCCAAAGAGAGCCATTTATGGCTCCTTAAGCATCGTCTTTAGAGATTTAAAAAAATGGTAGTGTCTTCTCTCTGATTCCTAGCATTCCACCCCTCTCTCTATCTTCTTCACTTCCCAAATAACTGTTGAACACCATACTATTGTACATATTCAGATCTGTTATTCCTTGGTCATCTCTTCTTTAGACCAAGAGTAGATCCAGACTGTCTTAGAGCCTAAGGATTATACAATTTAGGAGTGGAAGTGGATGCTCTGTAGGAAAATGAAAGCAAAAAAATATACAGAGCTTTGGCAGGGGGGTATGAAAATGAGGGACCCTGATGTTTCCTAAGCCAGGCAGCGAATCTACTTCTTTTTTTGTTCATTCACTTGTTTTTTAACATTTTATTTTATAATTGGGGTATAGCTGATTAAAAGTGTTGTGATAATTTCAGGTGAACCGCAGAGGGACTCAGGCATACACATACACGTATCCATTCTCCCCCACAGCCCCTTCCCATCCCATTATGCTGCCATATAACATTGAACAGAGTTCTCTGTGCTATGCAGTAGGTTCTTGTTGGTTATTCATTTTAAATATAGCACAGTGTACATGTCCATTCCAAACTCCCTAACTGTTCCTTCCCCGCCACAACCTTAAGTTGTGAGCCTCAAGTCTGTGAGCCTCTGTTTTGTAAGTAGCTCATTGTGTCATTTCCTTTTATAGTCCACATGTAAGGGATGTTGTATGATATCTCTCCTTCTCTGTCTGACTCACTTTACTCATTATGACAATATCCAGGTCCACCCTAGGTGTGGCAAGTCTACTGCTTCAGGTCAAGCTGCTTCTGTGTGTTTCTCGGTTCCTCGTAGATCCTCATTTCCAACCCCCTGCATTACATTTACCTTCCTCTGGACTCTTTCCTGAAATGTCTTCTTAGAATTTTGAACCTACTCCAAACCTGACTCTAATGACCTTCACCCCTCAGATAAGAGTTAAGGGCCACGATGGCACCCTCCTCCAGCATCATTCCGTATATCTGGTGATTAGTGGAGAAAATGGAAACGTCAACCAGATCCTGACTACTGACAACAATGGCCTCGCTGTCTTCAATCTAGACACGACCAATTGGAACGGGAAAAGCATTTCTCTGGAGGTAAGCCCTGGGAGTCCCCCTTTCCAGCACAGAAGACCGTCTGAAGGAAAACTTCAGAATTTCCTTGTTTCTCTCTCTGCCCTCCTGGTAAGTCCATCACCCTACTTACTCACCAGTTCTGCCCTCCCCTCGACAGAAAATTTTTCTTAGACACCACCATTTTAAATTCTGATCAAATAAATGACCCTTCAGATTAAAAAAAAAAAGATTGCTATTTCTATTAATTCATTTTATAACTTAACTGCCTCTCCACCTGGTTCTCTATTTGAAATCAGATTAGGAAGGAAAAAATGGTTTAGAATCATCTTCTTCCTCCTACTCCCCCTTTCCTTCTTCTTATTACTCATAAAAATAGCAAAGAGAATTCGAGATTTTGCACAACTTGGAAGGTTATTTGTACCAGTTATCAACTACTGCTTTACAAACAACTTCAGGGTAATTCCCTGGCTATCCCGTGGTTAGCATGTGCTTTCACTGCTGAGGGTGACGGGTTCAATCCCTGATCAGGGAACTAAGAAACCAAAACAAAAAAAAACAAACTACAGAACTTCAGTGTTAAACAATAGGAAGTATTTACTGGTCTTGTATCTGGGTAGTCTGATGGCATTTCTGCCCATCTTCATGGAGTTCCTTATGTCTGTGGACCAGTTGACTGTAGGCTTGCACTCCTCATGTCTCATGAACCACTGAGACAGTCCAGGTGTACCAATAGTTCAGTGGGTAGAGTCCACCTGCAATGCAGAAGACACAGGGGATGTAGGTTCGATCCCTGGGTTGGGGAGATTCCCCTGGAAGAGGATATAGCAACCCACTTCAGTATTCTCGCCTGAAAAATTCCATGGACAGAGAAGCCTGGTGGGCTACAGTCCACAGGGTCTCAAAGAGTCGGACACGACTGAGTAACTAAACACGTACCTATTCTCATGGCAACGAAGAGATGCAAAAGCAAAAGACATGCAAGGACTTTTCTGAGCCTCTACTTATCTCACGTATTTGAATATCCATTCCCCAAAACAAATCACCTGGTGGGTCCACAGTTAGACCAAAAGGGTCTAAGATTCCTTGGTAGAGAATGATGCTATGGGGAAGGAGGAAGAACTGTAGCCCATGATGCAATGATTCAGCTACACTGCTCAAGCAAATACATACTATTTCTGTTGTGACTAATTTGCCTATTTCTGTACTTTAGGCGGCACTCAATCACTCCTTCTTAGAAATGATTATTTTCAGTCTTTTTTTGTATGTGTGACTGGCCTGTGGGATCTCGTTCCCTGACCGGGGATCAGACCCACACCCCCTTCACTGGAAGCATGAAATCTTAACCACTGAACCACCAGGGAAGCCTGATGTTGATTTATTTATTTTCAGTCTTATTATCCTCTGTATCTAGTTTTCTTATCTCTGAGATTCATTCTTTAATCTCTTAGTCAAACTTGTCTCTCCTTTCGTCATCGTGTGAAGGCATATCATCCACAATTTTCTATTACCTGACAGCTATAATTCAGCCCTTTCTTTACACCCTGACATACCAAAATGTTGCTGCAAGTAGCCACTATTATGGAGTCCTCAAACATTCTTGGTTGGACCTCTAGCGAAATATCTACACGCCACTCTTAGGCAGTACAGATTTGAGAATCACAACAGCCCTACCGGGTTGATATAGTTGGGGTACATGCCTTTAAAGGTCTTTTTTTCCCTTCTCTCTCTCTTTCTCAGGGAAGGTTCCAATTGGAAGAAACATATGATCGAGAAAAAGTGCCTGGTTACTACCAAAATGCCTACCTGCACTTGCAGCCCTTCTACAACACGACTCACAGCCTCCTTGGCATCCGCCGATTGAGTGGCATCTTGGAATGTGGCCAGCCCCACGAAGTGCTGGTGGATTACTACATCGATCCGGCTGATGCAAAGCCTGACCAGGAAATCACCTTCTCCTACTATGTGAGACTGGGAGATGGGGGCTGGAGGGAAAGGGAATAAGGGCAGTGAGTCAGAGCAAGTGAATAGTCTGGACAGAGATATAAGAAAGGACTTCCCTGGTGGTCCAGCAGTTAAGACTGCTCTGCCAATGCAGGGAGTACAGGTTCAGTCCCTGGGTGGGGAACTAAGATCCCACAGGCCGTGCAGTACTGCCAAGAGTTTTTCAGAAAGCTGTAATGCAAGCCATATAGGTAATTTCTAAATCTTTAAAAGCCACATTAAAAAATTAAAAGAACGGGGGAAACTAACTTTTAAAGGAAATTTTATCCAACCCAACATATGATCATTTCCACATGAAATCAACTAAAAAATCATTAATAAATATTTTACATTTTTTTGTTTCAACTGTGTAGCAAAGTATGCATTAGAAACTCAAAGTATGTATTTTATACTTAAAGGAGTTTGGACAAATCACATTTCAAGGGCTCCAGGAATCACATGTGCCCAGTGGCTACTGTGTTGCTATAGGTATAGAAGATGGTAATAAGAAGATTTTGAACAGGAGTCCAGGGAAATTGTGTGAGGAAATAAAACTAGGAATTAATGAGAAGATGTTGCTGACAAGGGCTGAAAGGGAGCTGGGTGGGTGGGTGGGAGGAAGACTGAGGAGAGGATGGGGACTCAGAATAAATTTCCTTATGTGTTTCATTGGTCAGTGTTTTAAAATAGATAATAAAGGGTTAACTTTGATAGCAACTTTGCTGGAGAAATATGATTACAACTTGTAGTCTGAAAGAAATGTATAAAGACAAGCAGTTTGGTGCCTTGCCTGGTGGTCCAGTGGTTAAGAATCTGAGCTTCCACTGCAAGGGGCATGGGTTTGATCCCTGGTCAGGGAAGTAAGATCCTGCATGCCTTGCTGTGCGGCCAAAAAAAACCCCCCAAAACAAAAAGAAAAACCAAGACTAACAGTTTTACTGGTCACCATGAGTCCAATTCCTCAGGAATTCCTCAAGAACTGGACTCACGTGATCCTTGGGTTTGATGGTCCAGAGTTTTTTTAATTCCCTTATCATCTTCTTAAAGTCTTTGAGAAACTTTTCCCCCCTAAATCATTTCAGTGTCTCGATCGATCTAAAACAATCATCCAAATAACAGAATGAGGAGTGGTGGGTGGGAAATAATAAGGCTGAATTATAATACTTATAATACATGTACTGAGTTCAGGACAGAAGTGTGGGAGGCTTACGAGAAAAGTGGAATTGGAGCAGATCAGTGCGGACTTGACTGAAGCCTGAGGAGCTGGCCTACTTAGAAACCATTGCAGAGTTCATTTTCAGGGGAAAGTGAACAGGAAGCGAGAGTTAGAAAGAGATTGCTTGCCAGAGAGTCAAATGTCAGAGGACTCAAGACAGTTCAAGATGTATTCATTTCCACTGAATTCTTTAAAAAAAAATTTATTTATGCATAGTTGATCTACAATGCTGTTTTACTTTCATGTATTCAATTATACACACACACATATGTATATATATTCTTTTTCAGATTCTTTTCCCGTAGAGATTATTACAGAGTATTGAGTAAAGTTCCCTATGCTATACAGTAGGTCCTTGTTGGTTATTTATTTTGTATATAGTAGTGTGTATATAAGAGATTATTACAGAGTATTGAGTAAAGTTCCCTATGCTATACAGTAGGTCCTTGTTGGTTATTTATTTTGTATATAGTAGTGTGTATATATTAACCCCAAATTCCCAATTTATCCCCACCCCCCCCCCTTTAACTTCCACTGAATTTTGAATTGAGTGATAATTTTTTTTAAAGTTGTAAAAACAGAAACAGACTCACAGATATAGGGAACAGACTTGTGGTTGACAAGGGGGAAGAGACCTGTGGGAGGGATAGATCGGGTGTTTGGGATTAGCAGATCCAAACTATTATATATAGAATGGATAAACAATGAGGTCCTATTGTATAGCACAGGGAACTGTATCCAATCTCCTGGGATAAACCGTAATGGAAAAGAATATTAAAAAGGAATGTATACATGTGTATAACTGAGTCACTCAGCTGTCCAGCAGAGATTGGCATAACATTATAAATCAACTATACTTCAGTAGAAAAAAATGTTTTTTAAAAAAGGTTGTTAGGATGGATTTTAGTGGACATTATGTTACAAGGATCATAAAAGAATAAAACTTAGAGATCTTCAAGAAATTGTGTCAGCTATCTATTGTGAAGAATGGTTTCTGTTCTGTCTGGTTCCAAAGCCATGGTGGCCTGTGTCTCCTCCCACCCACCCCCTGATTCTTTGCAGACCCTCAACTGTAGGAACAGTCATCAGGACTCTGGGTACCATCCGATATTTGACAAACTGAAGGATGCTCCATAAAGTACTTACCTGGACTCCCGAACTATGAAAGCAGCCTCTCCTTACAGAGAGGTGTAAGGATTGGGCCAAGGCTAAACTCCTCTAACTTCTATGTTGCTGATGATTTTTATTTTTTCTCTTCTTTAGTTAATAGGGAAAGGAAATTTGGAGATGGAGGGGCAGAAACACTTGAAGTCTAGGATGAAAGGTGAGTGTTCATGAATCTCTTGGGAGACTTAAACTTTAAACTTCCAGTTGAATTGGTTTATAATGCTTTTCAGATCTCCTTTGTGGTAGTTTCCTTCTACTTTTTTGTATATTCATCCTATTAATTTTTGAGAGTTTGATACTGAAACTCTAACTGAAAATCTTCCTTTATCTACTTAAAAATAATTGTAATGTATAGTGGAACTCTATGTAACTTTGTTCTGTGTTTTCCAAGTCTCCTGTAAGTTTACATTACATTATATTTGTAATGTAAAATTGTTTTTACATTAATTCAACAAACAAAAAAGAAAGAAAAAAGAAGAGAGACAAGAAAAAACTTGAAACTTCTAGGAAACAGTTCTTATACTAGAAGCAAGAGCAGGAGTAGCAAGAACAGAACAATAACCACAGATCAGAAAAATGAGAAACAACTCGCCCGTGGTTGGCTCAGGGAGAAGTGCAGACACAAGGTTGGATGTCATTGGTGGGTGAGTGTGTACTCTTGTGCCTGAATATCCCCTCTTCTCTTTCAGGACTGAAAGGCTCCTTCTCTCTCCCACTGATCTTCAACTCCAGATTAGCTCCTGATCCTTCCCTGGTGGTCTATTCTATTTTTCCCAATGGAGGTGTCATAGCGGACACAATCCAGTTCTCAGTGGAGATGTGCTTTGACAATCAGGTAAAATGGCAGTTAAGGCGGGTGAAGAAAGGTCTGGGACAAGAGAGGGAGCTTGTGTATCCTGGGGGTGGAGGGAGATAAGGCAGGGCCATTGGGGAAGGCAGGGGCTAATGTTGAAGCTGGATGTCATGTTCTGTATCTTTAGCATGGTTTGTTGAACTGTCTCTCCTTCTTCTTTTAAAAGGTCATGCTGGGAAGTCACATGTTCTGTAGCCCTATTCCATAAATTCTCTTTCTACTTTCCATCTTTTAAGCTTTCTGTATTATTCTACCATGCTGCTTACTTTTTCCAACTGTATCACAAAACACTGCTTCTAAAGGGCAAGACTTTACAAAGAATAATCAGTATAAAAGTGAAGGACTTGGGGGGAATTCCCTGGCAGTCCAGCGGTTGAGGCCTCATCTTCCAATGCTGGGGGTTTGGGTTCAATCCCTGGTCAAGGAGTTAAGATCCCACATTCTTCATAGCCAAAAAAACAAAATATTAAACAGAAGCAATATTGTAACAAATTCAGCAAAGACTTTAAAAATGATCCACATCAAAAAAAAAAAAAAATGACAAAGCGACTCTGAAAAAAAAAGTGAAGGAGTGGGCTAGGGACCGTACTTAGGGCATATGGCTGATGGCTGTTTCTCCTCCTCTCCAGCCTGACCTGATCCCTGTGTTGTCCTTTTCTCTTCCCCAGGTTTCCCTTGGCTTCTCACCTTCCCAGCAGCTTCCAGGAGCAGATGTGGACCTACAACTGCAGGCAGCCCCTGGGTCCCTGTGTGCAGTCCGGGCCGTGGATGAGAGTGTCTTGCTGCTTAGACCAGAGAGCGAACTAAGCAATAGTTCGGTGAGTGGCCTGCTGACATGGCAAGAGGGGGTCGACAGAGAAGATAGGTTGCATCAGGATAAGAGATGGATTCCAGGCAGCAGGAAAGAGAGTCTCAGGAAAACAGTGCATCACACAAGGTGGAGGCAAAGCTCGTGTGGACATGAAGGTAGAAATGATGATATGGGAAATTCCTGGAAATCTAGTGTTTAGGACTCAGGGCTTTCACTGCTAGGTCCCAGGTTCAATCCCTGGTCAGGGAGCTAAGATCCTGCAAGCTGCTTGGCATGCCCCAGCCCCTGAAAAACACGATATGAGAAAGGCGTGGTTAATATGATCATAGGGATCAGGAAAGATGGAATAGGAGATAAGGATCAGATTATGAGAAAAGATGAACTAGAGGAAGGGGTTTAGGATGGAAGAAATTCTGGAGTAATGAAGACAAAGAATACAAGGACAGTAAACTGTGCCCACAGAATCTGAGAGAAGTGATTTCACTGTGTCAGTATTTCATTTACTTAAGAAAAAAAGATTAATTTCCTTTCCTGTCTTTTCTCAGGTCTATAGGATGTTCCCATTCTGGTACAGTCACTACCCCTATCAGGTGGCTGAATACGATGAGTGTCCAGGGTTTGACCGATGGAACTTTCCGCAGCCCCTCATTGAGCCAGTGCCTGAGGAGCGTTGGAACAATGCTTTTGTCATGTGGAGGCCTTGGCTCTCTGAAGAAACAGACCTTTTCAGTCTTTTCCAGGTGGATGTTCTTACCCATTCTGTTCTCATAGAAACAATGGTGGTGGGAGGGAGAAAGGAAAGTCCATATCGACAAAAGCATGTGGGCTCAGGTGGGCACTGACAGGGGCAAAATCTTGAAAGAAACTCCTGGTGGGCAAGGAGCCTCTCTTGGTTCTTATGCTTGAAGAAGTTTCCCACGTGTGAGGCTAAACACCTATCCTCTCTCTGGGGTCTGCAAACATTGACTTCCATGGGATCCATACAGAAGGAAAACACACACACACACACACACACACACACACACACACACAAAGAAAGGTAGACCAGAAGTCTCCTACTATTATGAAAGATTTTGCATTTATTTTATTAGCAAAGGTTTGGAATGCTTTAGCCCATGTCTGGCCATTGGGTCTCTGAGGTCAGGAAGCAGGTCTTGTTCATCCTTTGTGTTCTCTCTAATACTTTATCCTTCAGTATATTTTTGAGCCTGATCCACTCAATATATTTTTATTGAATTGATCCAGCTGATATGGTCTCTGCCCTCAGAAAATTCATTTCAAATCAAATAATAAGGATACAGTGACTAATATTCAGAAGAAGTATTAAACATATCAAACAATGAAGTGGAATACTACTATTTAGCCAAAAAAAAAAAGAATGAAATCTTGTCACTTGCAACAACCTCGATGGACCTTGAGGGCATTATGCTAAGTGAAATAAGTCAGATGGAGAAAGACAAACATTGTATGATCTCACGTATATGTGGAATTTAAAAACAACAGTTATTTAGTCGCTCAGTCATGTCCAACTCTTTTACGACCCCATGGACTGTAGCCCGCCAGGCTCTTCTGTCATGGGATTTCCCAGGCAAGAATGCTAAAGTGGGGTGCCATTTCCTTCTCCAGGGTATCTTCCTGACCCAGGGATCAAACTCGAGGCTCCTGCATTGCAGGTGGATTCTTTACCTCTGAGCCCCTGACACTGTGTAGCATACTTGAAAGTTGCTAAGAGAATAGATCTTAAAAGTCCTCATCACAAGAAAATAATTTTTTGTAATTATATATGGTGATGGATGTTAACTAAATTTATTGTGATGATCATTCTGCAAAAACGTATGCATATGTGTGTGTATACATATGCATAATACATACATATATATGTATATAAATACAATGAAATAAGTTTCACTGAGAGACTTTCATGCTGACTGGAATAGAAGTGAACCAGTCTTGGTGGCTGAGTATGGGTCTCACAATTAATAGGCAAAGAATGTGTTGGTTCAACCCTTTGAGGGTGAAATTTCTAGGCAGTAGCCCTTGTAGTAAGGGAGAGGATCCCCTCTAACATGTCATTCTCTGGTCCCTTTGGTGCCTATCAGAACGTGGGCCTGAAAATACTGTCCAATGCCAAAATCAAGAGGCCAATAGATTGCAGTCGCCAGAATTTAAAACACAGCTTTACGGTGGCTGAAGGTAAGCTGCCTCTGATTCACTGAAATATTTAGCATCACGGAACTCTGAGAGCTCCCTCTTTGCCTCCTCTTCTTGCCCTGAGCCTCTAGCCAGGGTGATAATGGATTGCGGGTTATAGATGCAGGCAGTTTCCCCAAGGATTCCACTCTCTTTCTATGGGAAAGGCTTTTGAAGCCTGAAGTTCTTATCTATTCATTCTCTGGCGGAACGTCCCCACCTGTCACTTTTCCCAATAGCCTTGTGACCAGTCCGTGCCTCAGCGGTCCTTCCTCCTCATCTGTGACTTGCATGTTCTCTGCTTCCCTATGAGTGTCTTGCTAGTAGTCCCTCTACTTTGACTTATTGCGTGACACAAGTCTTCTGCTTTTCCCCTTATTCCTGGCCTCCTTAGCAGCAAATGATATTCGTTCAACGACTTTCAAGCCAGCTCCATTAGTTCAGCCGGAAGAGTCTCAGGTTCGCCAGTACTTCCCAGAGACTTGGCTGTGGGATCTGTTTCCTATTGGGTAAGTGACACCTCAAAGGTATAACAAGATTATATATACAGTGTGGAGTCAGGAGAGAACCCAGACTCAGATAATTTTTAAAAATTAATTAATTTGACCGTACTGGGTCTTAGTTGTGGCATGTGGGCACTTTAGTTGCAACATGTGGGATCTAGTTCCCTGACCAGGAATCAAACCCAGACCACCTTCATTGCGAGCTAGACTCTTAGCCACTGAACCACCAGGGAAATCCCAGACTCAGATAATTGCTAATGAACCTAAGTCTCAAGCCAGAAAATAGCAAGGAAAAATAAGAAAGCCTTCTTAAGTGAACAATGCAAAGAAATGGAGGAAAGCAATAGAATGGGAGAGACTAGAGATCTCGTCAAGAAAATCGGAGATATCAAGGGAACATTTCATGCAAAGATGGGCTCGATAAAGGACAGAAACAGTAAGGACCTAACAGAAGCAGAAGAGCTTAAGCAGAGGTGGCAAGAATACACAGAAGTCTCAAGCCAAGAAGGTTTAATGGAAATATGAGAATGTTTTTCTTTCCCTGGATTCTTAAACAATTGTATGCAATCATTCAAAACAAATCCACACAGCTTCACATTTGTGCAGTGCAGACAGGGCAGGGCTGCACCAACAGAAAGGCACATCTTGATGTTAGTTTAGTTTGTGCTCACTCCTTTCCTGCTTGTTCTGACAAACCATAACGATGCGTATTCTCACAGATTCGGAGGGCACTGGGCTGTCTTACAGATATGTTTACACACATACTGCCTCCCCCAATCCTCGGACACACGCTTTTCCCACACTTGTGCAGCCTCACTTGAAGACTCACACTCTGAGATTCACTTAGGCCTCCAGTCCAGTTGCTTTCCCCCCACCCCCATGCACAAGAGCAACAAAATAGTCACTTCTGCAGGCGAATTTATAGCTGAATTCTTGCGTCCTCACAGCTACTCGGGGGAGGAGTCTGTCCACATCACGATTCCTGACACCATCACCACGTGGAAGGCCATGACTTTTTGCACCTCCCAGTCCAAGGGTTTCGGCCTCTCACCCACCGTTGGAGTGACTGCCTTCAAGCCGTTCTTTGTTGATCTGACGCTCCCGTACTCAGTGGTTCGCGGTGAATCCTTCCGTCTGACTGCCACCATCTTCAATTACCTGAAGACGTGCATCAGGGTAAGAGCTGGGGATGCAGGAAGCAGGTATCAAGCCCCTACACTGGAGGCATACGCATCTCCCCAGAGAAAAAGATGAGACATCAGTGTCTTGGCCCTCCCGTCTTCCTGACCTTCTGTGCACTGTCTGCTTTACTCATATCCTTTATTATTTTTTAAAACTTATTTTAGTTAATTGATTTATTGTGGCTGTGCGGGGTCTTTGTTCCCACTTGGGCTCTCTCTGGGAGGCTTTCTCTAGTTGCAGCGAGTGGGGGCTACTCTTCATTGTGGTGCGCGAGCTGCTCATTGTGGTGGCCTCTCTCGTTTCGGAGCACAGGCTCCACGCGGGTTTTAGTAGTTGCAGCACGCGGGCTCAGCGGGTGTGGCCCCCGGGCTCTAGAGCACAGGTTTGTGGTACATGAGCTTAGTGGCCCCTCGGCACGTGGGATCTCCCCAGACTAGCGATCGAACCTGTATCTGCTGCATTGGCGGGTGGATTCTTAACTGCTGGACCACCAGGGAAGTCCTACTCACATCCTTTATCTTTCAAATATCCTCTTCAGGTTCAGACTAACCTGGCTAAGTCAGAGGACTACCGGGTAGAATCGCAGACAGACCCTAAGGCCTCCACCTGTCTGTGTGCTGACGAAGCAAAATCCTATCACTGGAACATCACGGCTGTCAAACTGGGTAAGAGCCAGACGTGGCCAGTAGGCAAGGAGAGCATAGAGGTTAGGAATGCTATCCTTTCCTCTACTACATTTGCTTTCTTTTCTCCTTCCTCTTCTGTATATTTGCCTCTATTTTTCACCCTCTTAAGTCTAGGTTATAAATAAATGAGCAAATATTCTTTGATAGATGACTCCAAATTATCCACATCAGACTATTTCAAGTGTGAAAGGGTGAGCTTTTAAAATGTACACCAAGGACTTCCCTGGTGGTCCAGTGGGTAAGGCTCCACACTCCCAGTGACCGAGTTCAATCCCTGGTCCGGGAACTAGATCCCACATGTTGCAGCTAAGAGTTCACAGACCACAACTAAAAAAATATCCTGTGTGTCCTGCCTGTCACAATGAAGAAGATCAAAGGTCCCAGGTGCAGCAACTAAGATCCAGTGCAACCAAATAAATATTTTAAAAAATATATTTATGGCAGGACAAGGGATATAGTTTCATGTTACTAGTCAGACACTATGGGCCAGGCATTATCTTAACTGTGTTACATGAATTAACTCATTTAATCATCACAATATGGGCTTTCCTCATGGTGCAGTGGTAAAGAATCTGCCTGCCAGTGCAGGAGACACAAGAGACCCAAGTTCTATCCCTGGGTTGGGAAGATCCCCTGGAGAAGGAAATGGCAACCCACTCTAGTATTCTTGCCTGAAAAATTCCATGGACAGAGGAGTCTGGTGGACTATAGTCCATGGGATCCTAAAGAGTTGACTGGTCAAGTGCACATGTGGGCACATGCACACCCACACCCACACACACAATCATCACAATAATCCTTTCAGATGTCATTTGCTCTAAGATTAAATCCTTGCAGCTCAAACTGTAATATTTGGATGAATTAGTGATCTACTGCTGCTTAACAAAGTACCCTAAAATTTAGCAGCCTCCAAGAACATTTATTATCACAGTTTCTGTAAGTCAGTGATTGGTATGGTTTAGCTGGGTGCCTCTTGCTCAGTGCCTCTCATGAAGTTCAGTCAGGGCTGTGTTCTCCTCCAAAGATTTGCCCAGGAGAGAACTTACGTCTACGGTCATTCCAGAGCCTCTGATCCTCGTGGGCTGTTAGACTGAAGGCTGCAGTTCTCGGCCTCAGGTGTTGGTTGGTGCCTCCATCTGTTTCCTAACCCATGACTCTTCCCACCAGACTGCCTCCTGACATGACAACTGGCTTCCTCCACAGTGAGTGTCTCAATGGGAAGAGGGAACCCAAGACAGAGATGCAGTCTTTTTTTGGCTGTGCTGGATCTTCATTGCAGCTTGCGGACTAAGTTGCTCTGCAGCATGTGGGAACTGAGTTCTCCAACCAGGGATCGAGCCCACATCTCCTGCACTGGAAGGTGGATTCACAACCACTGGATCGCCAAGGAAGTCCCTGCAGTCTTTTTTAAATCAATCTCAGAAGTGACATCTCAGTGCTTCTGCTCTATCCTCTTCTTTAGAAGCAAATCACTAAATCTAGCCCACAAGCAAGGGGACTAGATGACACAGCAGTGTAGATATCAGGATACAGGCATTGTCAGGGCCCCTTTGAGACCACCTACCACACTAGACCAGCATCAGTGACTCCTGGAAGCTTGTTGGAACTGCAGACTGTGGGCCCCACCCCAGATCCACTGAGGAAGAGCTCTTATTGTAACAAACCAGAGCCTCAGGCGACTTGCATGCATCAAGTTTAAGAAGCAACAGTCTAGTGGGGAAGAGACCTCATTGGTACCTGTGCTCATGGGGCCAATATCTTCCTTTCCCCCCTTTTCTTCTTAGGCCATGTAAACTTCACTATCAGCACAAAGATTCTGAACAGCAATGAACTCTGTGGGGGCCAGAAGGCATTTGTTCCCCTACAGGGTGGGAGTGACACGCTCATCAAACCAGTTCTGGTCAAGGTGAGTTTTCTGGAGGTCTAGCTTCGGAGGCAAAGGCAGCTACCAAGAGAAGGATGTTCAGCGTGTGTCTGACCGCATCAGTGAGTCTGTTGCAGTATTCTAAATCCAGCTGCCATTAGGTAGCTCACCTTTATCCTTCCCTGAGCCATTTCTGCTCTTAAATACTTACTAAACCCATACCAATGGCCTATGAAAATGTCTAGTACAGCACCTGTCCTTTTTTTTTTTAAAGAAAGAAATGGAAAATTTTATTCAAGCCAGATTTGAGGATTATACCCTGGGAAGAGCTTCTCAGAAAGCCCTGAGAACTGTCCCGCACTTTGGAAGTCAAGGCACAGTTGCATGAGTTTTCTTTGAGACAGAAGACTATATATCAAATGATACATTATTGACAATTTACATAATCTGGATATAAGGGTCATCATAGTGGGTCCTGTGACCCCTTATAAGATTAAGAAGGAATGTTATCTTTTTTTAAAAAATTGGAGTATAATTGCTTTATAACATTGTGTTAGTTTCTGCTGTAAGGCAACAGGAATCAGCTGTAGGTATACATATATTCCCTCCCTCCTATTCTCCCTCCCACCCCTCTGATACCTGATACTTTGGAGACACTCGATGAATATTTTTCTCTCCTATGAAAATCCCTGATGTCAGCATTAGCTGTGTCATGTCACCTTGAATTCCATTGTCCATCCGGTCTCCTAGAAGTGTCCCAAACTTGTCTTTAGCTCTAGCCCAGAGTCTTACTGAGAGGCCCCTCCCTGGATTGAAAAGGAGTCCTTCTGAATGTCAAAGAGAAGCTCTATTCTCTCCAGTTGTGAGCGAAGCCCTCAGGGCACAAGCAGGGACTCTTCTTCCCATTTCCCTTCCCTTTCCTATTCCTCCTGGGCCACCTGCCCTGATACTCATCTGGTTGTTCTAACCCATCCTTGCCTCTTTTCCTGTCAGCCGGAAGGAGTCCTTGTGGAGAAGACACACAGCTCACTGCTGTGCCCAAAAGGTGGGTGAACATAGACAGGGGTTGATGTGAGAATTCCCTTAGCAACAGATTTTCTTAGGCAAAAGGAGGAATCTACAGGACAAGAAAAAAATAGGAGAGTCTAGGGGTGCCATTCCCAGGGGAACCAACTGGCAGAGAGGCAGGAAAAGAAGAGAAATCGTACAGCACAGTATGGTGCTGGCTGGAATTTATTTTTAGCAAAGACCGCTATGAATAGTAATAAAAAAAAAATCTACCTCCAACCCACAGAAAGCAGTGGTTACAGAAAACCCTGGGTGATGGCGAGTTTTTTCCATGGTTTGGGCTCGAGAAGCCCCACTACTTCCACCTTTCTAGTGTTTTACCCTTTCTCTGCCCCTCACAGGAAAAGTGGCTTCAGAATCCATCTCCCTGGAGGTCCCTGAGGATGTTGTTCCTGATTCAGCCAAGGCTTATGTCACTGTTCTGGGTAAGCAACCAGAGATTCTTGGCTCAAAAAGGAAAAAGTGGGGCCAGAAGCTATCAAGGTGTGGTGTGAGTTGAAGCCTATGGACCTATGTGAAGGAAGGTGTGGTAGACTAAAAGAAACAAAGGAAGAAGAGCTTATTTTACAAACTGGGCACATACAGCCTATACAATATGGATGGGATTATATAGACATATACCTGGTTAAAAACAGAAATGAGGGACTTCCCCAGTGGTCCAGTGGTTAAGACAACATGCATCCACTGCAGGGTGCCTGGGTTTGATCCCTGGCCAGGGAACTAAGATCCCACATGCCACAAGCCAGGACCCAAAAAATAGAGAAACAAAGACAAAAAACAGAAAAGAGACTGGGCAAGAGGAAGTTAAAGTTCATTAAGTTTTATATGTATTTAGGTTTAGGTCTATAAATTGGGTAGAGGGGAGACAAAATGTTTGTGGTAACCATTTAAAATTAAGAACTTTATCCATTTGAATATAATTTTGGAAAGATTCAACCATGTTTAAAAGGATATTGCCACTTCTTTGGGCAAGGAGAGGGAGCAAGCAGGAAAACATGAGCTTGAACACTGTAAAATTGTATCAAACTGGTTTAGGATCTTGGTTATGCCATTTAATAGCCATGTGAGTTTGGATAAGTTAGTGAATGATTTTGGTCCCTCTTTTCTCTTCTGTAGGACAGGGATAATAACCTACCTCTCAGGATCGGTATAAAGATTAAGTATAATATAATATAAAGTTCCCAGCACAGTATCTAGCACATAGTAGAAGGCTGTGTGTGTTATTCTTTCTTTACTCTTACCCCCTACCCAGATCCCTTCCAGGTTAAAATGTCCATTTTGTCTGTGTTTGATTCTAGTATAGCACTCACCTTCCTGAATTATAACTCACTATCTTTCTGTGTCTTCCACACTGCATCGAGGTCTCCTTGAGGATAAAGGCCATGTCTATTTATTTACTTAAAATTTTTTATTGTTTATTTTTTGGCTGCCCTGGGTCCTCCTTCCTGCTCGAGCTTTCTCTTACTCTCTAGCTGTAGTGCGCAGGCTTCTCAGTGTGGTGGATTCTCTTGTTGCGGAACATGGGCTCTAGGGTGCCCAGGCTTCAGTAGTTGTGGTGCATGGGCTTAGCGGCCCCATGGCATGTGGAATCTTCCCAGATCAGGGGGATCAATTCCCTACGTTGGGAGGTGGATTCTTTTTTTTTTTTTTAATTGGAGGATAATTGCTTTACAACATTGTGTTGGTTTCTGCCATACAACAATGTGACTCAGTCATAACTAGACATATGTCCCCTCCCTCTTAAACCTCCCTCTCACCTCCTACCCCATCCTACCACTCTAGATTATCAGAGCACCTGCTTGAGCTCCCTGTGTTATAAATCAACTTCCCACTAGCTCTCTATTTTACTTATGGTAATATATATGTTTCAATGGCAGGCGGATTCTTAACCATTGGACCACCAGGGAAGTCCCAAGGGCCATGTCTTTTTCATTTTTGTACTTAGAGCAGTTCTTGCAGTTGACATTCAGGACATATTTATACATTCGAACTGAGCTCAGTGACTAAAATGAAGATGTTCATGAATCACTTACATCAGGCTTCATGGCTTGTGAAGTATATGGAGGGGTCAGGAAATTTAATGTGGAAAAGCGTGCCAGGAGGATGTGTGTGTCTGAGTGAGATGTGGTGATTCGAAGGGTGATGTAGTTATATGCAATGGAAGCAGGTTTTGTTACATCTCTCATCAGCGTTTTAAAGCCTTGCACTCCTTCAGGTGGCCTATGTACCTGTCTGTGTATTCCAGTACCTTGTACATACCTAATATTATAGTACTATGTTATAATTGCTTATAATAAATTAGAATAGTGATGTAGGGACTTCCCTGTTGGTCCAACAGCCGAGACTCAGAGGTCCCCATGTAGGGGGCCCAAGATTGGTCCCTGGTCAGGGAACTAGATCCCATATGCTGTAACTAAAAGTTCACATGCTGCAACTAAAGATCCTGAATGCTGCAACTGAGACCCAGAGCAGACAAATAAATAAGTAAATAAATAAATAAATAATAAATACTTAAATAAATAAAATAAGTAAGTAAATAAATAAGTAAAAAAAAAAGAATTGTGGGACTTCCCTGGTGGTCCAGTGGGTAAGAATCCACCTTCAATGCAGGGAAAGTGAAACGTGGAAGTGAAAGTTGCTCAGTCATGTGTGACCCCATGGACTATACAGTCAGGCCAGAATACTGGAGTGGGTAGCCTTTCCCTTCTCCAAGGTATCTTCCCAACCCAGGAATGGAACCCAGGTCTCCTGCATTGTAGGCAGATTCTTTACCAGTTGAGCCACAAGGAAAGCCCAAGAATACTGGAATGGGTAGCCTCTCCCTTCTCCAGGGGATCTTCCTGACCCAGGAATTGAACTGGGGTCTCCTGCATTGCAGATGGATTCTTTACCAACTGAGCTATCAGGGAATGTGGTTTCAATCCCTGGTCAGGAAACTAAAAATCCCACATGTCTCTGGGCAACTAAGCCCACATGCCACAACCAAAGCATAGCGAAAAAAAAGAAAGGAAGAAAAAAAGCCAAAACAAAAGAATTGCAGTGTATTGTAATTGCTTGCCCCACTGACTATGGGCTCTTTGAGGTGGAGACTGTTGTCCCTGGGGTCACAGAGTAAGGACTCACAAAATGGTAAATAATATGTGTTCGCTGGGGTGCTCCTCAAGTGGTGCTAGTGGTAAAGAACCCGCCTGCCAAAGTTGGAGACATAAGAGATGTGGGTTCCATCCATGGGTAGGGAAGATCCCCTAGAGGAGGGCATGGCAACCCACTGCAGTATTCTTACCTGGAAAAATCCCATGAACAGAGGAGCCTGGTGGGCTACAGTCCATGGGTTCTCAAAGAGTCAGACACAACTGAAGTGACTTGGCACACTGTATTCATTGAATGATAACTCTTCAGGGTTCCTGCTTCTCCCACCACCTTCTCTCCCTCTCCTTTTGGACCCCAGGAGACATCATGGGCACAGCCCTGCAGAACCTGGACAAGCTGGTGCAGATGCCAACCGGCTGTGGGGAGCAGAACATGGTCTTCTTCGCACCTATCATTTACGTCCTGCAGTACTTGGAGAAGACAGAGCTGCTGACGGAGGAAATCTGGTCTCGAGCGGTGGGCTTCCTGAAGCTGGGTGAGTTGGCTCACCCTTTCTTCTTGGACACTTGCTTTGGGGCCTATGGTTGGGTTATTAAGACACAGGGAAGCTCCGTGTCTGAAGTGTCCCTCATCCTTGCAAGCCATGGGAGTGTTTTTTGAAGTTGTCGCTGTCCTCTAAAACCACATCTGGCTTCCCAGGGTACCAGAGGGAACTGATGTACAAACACAGTGACGGCTCCTACAGCGCCTTTGGGGAGCAAGATGGAAATGGAAACACATGGTAATGTTGCCCAATTCCCAGTGAGTTCTGCTCCCCAGAGCATAATTCCAGAACCCTCTGGAATTATTCCTCTACCCTCCACTTCACCCCATTCTTGCTTTCTATCCTCTACCACTTAAAACATATTTTTAAAATAATTTTTTTAAAATTTATGGCTGTGTTGGGTTTTTGTTGCTCTGTGGGCTTTCTCTAGTTTTCGTGTGTGGGGTTTCTCTTGTTGTGGTGTGTGGGTTTCTCTTGTGAAGCACAGGCTCTAGGTGTGGGCTCAGCAGTTGTGGTACGTGGGCCTTAGTTGCACTGTGGCATGTGGAATCTTCCTGGACCAGGGATGGAACCCGTGTCCCTGCATTGGCAGGCGGATTCTTATTTGCTGTGCCACCAGGGCAGTCCTCCTCTACCACTTTAATACTATTTATTTCAGCCTTGTGTATGGTCAAACCCCTTACCCTTCTCCCTGACCTTGCACCTACCAGTTCTTGTCCCCATGAAGGCCAAGTAAGGCCTCCCCTTTCCAGGATTCCTATGGCATTATGTTTCCTCAACTCTTCTGGAACCACACACCAGAACAAACTGTGGAACTATCACACACCCTGGAGGAGGAAATGACAACTCACTCCAGTATTCTTGCCTGGAGAATCCCACAGACAGTGGAGGCTGGTGGGCGATAGTCCGTGGGGTGGCAAAGAGTCGGACACGACTGAAGCGACTTAACACATTGAACCCTCACCTAGAAATCTGCCTTAATGTAGATTTCCCTCTGTACCCATGTAGGCTGACAGCCTTTGTCACCAAATGCTTTGGCCAGGCTCGGCAATTCATCTTCATTGACGACAAGAACATCCAGGATGCTCTTGAGTGGATGGCAGGAAACCAGCTCTCCACTGGCTGCTACGATAACGTGGGACGGCTCCTTCACACAGCTATGAAGGTGCGGCCCTGCCCAGGGGCCTGGAGTCCCTGAGAAGAACTTGACCTCTGATTGCAAAGAATCAAGAGAGTGCTGGCCCTGGGTTTGGTTGTTTAGGTCTCTGGCCTGGCTAAGGGGTGACCTTGGTCAATATTCTTAGCCAGCCTGAGCCTGAGCTTCCACGTCTGTAAAATGAGAATATGTTCTAGGACATGGTTCTCAAAGTGCGGTCCCCAGGTTCAGCAGTACTGGCACCACCTGAGAACTTGTTTGAAATGCTAATTCCAGCTCTTACCCCCAGACCTAGTCAGAGGAACTCTGGGGGGTGTGGGCCAGCATTTGTATTTTAACGTAGCCCTCTGGGTGATTCAAATACTTGTTGAAGTTTAAGGACCATTGGACTAGAAGGTCTCTGAGCATTTTACTAACTCCCTAAGTCTGAAGCAAAGCCATTTGCTCTGGTGGGGATTCCTAAACAGCCCAGTGCCTTTTTTTTTTTTCTTTTAAAAATAACTTTGCTATTTTAAAAAAGTAATTATTTGTTTATTTTGGCTGGGCTTGATTTTTGCTGTAGCACAGGCTCAGTAGTCGCTATGCACAGGCTTAGTTGCCCCAGGGTATGTGAAATCTTAGTTACCCAAGCTGGGATCAAACTCAGTCCACCCCATTGGAAGACAGATACTTAACCACTGGACCACCAGGGAAGTCCCCAGCCCAGTGTTTATCGTAAGGGGGTCTACTCTCTGCCAGACACTACGCACTCCGTTTATTTGATGTTTAATGTTTGTTGTTGTTTAATTGCTTAGTCGCGTCTGACTCTTTACAACCCCATGGACTGCAACCCTGCCAGGCTCCTCCATCCATGGGATTACCCATGGGTTGCCATTTCCTTTTCTGGGGGATCTTTCTGACCCAGGGATCGAACCCGTGTCTCTTGCATCTCCTGTTTTAAGCAGGCAGATTCTTTACCACTGAGCCACCTGGGGAGCCCATTTAATGTTTACAACAAATCAATACGCTAAGTCCTTAGCATGGGGCTTCTCAGGTGGCTCAGTGGGTAAAGACTCCACCTGTGACGCAGGAGATGTGAGTTTGATTCCTGGGTTGGGAAGATCCCCTGGAGAGCATGGCAACCCACTCTAGTATTCGTGTCTAGAGAATCTCATGGACAGAGGAACCTGGCGGGGCATAGTCCATACAGTCACAAAGTGTTGGACACAACTAAAGCAGCTGAGCACGCATACACAAGTCCTGGCATGCCATTTTAAGTCCATTTTACAGATGAAGAAATGAGGCGCAGGGGTTACATAAAGCACCCGAGGTGATTGTTTGTGGGTGTGGGACTGCCATTTGAACCCCAGCAGTTGGACTGCAGGGGCATTGCTCTCCTCCATGCGCTGCACTCCCTGACCCCTCCCAACTCAGGGTGAGGTGCTGGGGTATGAGCAGCTCTTGTTCAATTCAGAACAGACCCAGTGAAAGAAAGACTGAGCTAACTTTCCTGGAGGAATCATTATTGCTATTCCAGGCCCTGGATTAAAAACCTTGAGTGCTGAAAACAAAATCTCTGTATGATTCATTAGTATTCCTTATGTAAGGTCCTTGCAGTGTCCCCCATGTGTATAGTACAAGCCTGGATGTGACTAGAACAAGATTCTAGAGGTTTTTCCTCCTCCTGTCTTACCAGAGCTGGTCAGTCTGTCAAGAAACACATCATTTGTCTTGTCAAGTTTGGTGGTTTGGTCCTTAGCAGGAGCTCTGGACTTAAACTCCTTGGGCTCAAAACCCAGCCCTTCAGCTTATTAGTTGTGTATTCTTGAACAAACTATTTCACCTTTTTAAGTGTTTGTTCTTTTATCTATTAAACAAAGATCATAACTTAGATTATATATTTTTTTAAAGAAAAGACTAATATTCTTCAGTGAAAGTCATTAATCAAGGACAGATGTCACCTAATGTCTCCTGGAGAAGACGCTGGGCTTTTTTTCACTTGAGGGGAACATTCATCTGGGGAAGGCTCAGATTCACTAAAAATCTGAGAATAAGAAATTTTCTTCTTATCCCCTGCTCCCTTCTTGTTTTAAAAAAAATCTGTTATGCTTCCTAACCCCTTCTCTTGGGTTTCCTAAATACCCACTCAGAGCTGAAGACCTCATGTTACTTCTTGAAGGTTACTTGAAGGTCACTGTTAAAGGCAGTGCATCATTGAAGTCCCTCCAGTCCTCTCCCCCACCCCCACCCACTGTCTGTCCTAGAGTCTTGAGGTCCAGTCAGCCTGTGGAAAGGAGCACTTTTTTATTTTCTTAATTCAAAAATTGAGGCGTGGAATGGAGTGGGAGGTGGGAGAGAGGTTCAAGAGGGAGGGAACATATGTATACCTATGACTGATTCATGTTGGTGTATGGCAGAAACTAGCACAATATTGTTAAGCAATTATCCTCCAGGTAAAAAATAATAATAAAAAAAAATTTTGTTTAAATTGGGAGATAATTGCTTTCCAATGTTGTATTAGCTTTTGCTGTACAACAGTGTGAATTAGGTACATGAGTATATAGGTCCCCTCCCTCTTGAGCCTTCCTTCTACCTCCCTCCCACCCCTCCCACCCCCATCTCACCCCTTTAGGTCATCACAGAGCACTGAGCTGAGCTCCCTGTGCTATATAGCAGCTTCCCGCTAGCTATGGATTTTACACAAACTAGTGTATTATATGGAGAAGGCAATGGCACCCCACTCCAGTACTCTTGCCTGGAAAATCCCATGGATGGAGGAACCTCTCGGGCTGCCATCTCTGGAGTTGCACAGAGTTGGACACGACTGAAGCGACTTAGCAGCAGCAGCAGCAGCAGCAGCAGTGTATTATATGTTGATGCTACTCTCCCAATTCATGCTACCCTTCCCCTGTCCCAGTGTCCACATGTCTGTTCCCTGCATCTGCTAATTCATCTGTTCAGAGGGGACGCCTTTTTGTAGTTTGTAGTTTGCACACAATTCTTGCACGTGCTGGCTGCTGCCCTGACTTCCTGTCTCCCTGTCTCCCTCCAGGGTGGAGTTGATGACGAGGTCTCCTTGACTGCCTACATCACGGCTGCCTTGTTGGAGATGGGCAAGACCACAGATGTGAGTTTCTCTAGCTCCTCCCCTTGACACTCTTCGGATCATGCCTATTTCTAGAGAAAGTTACCTGGTTTTGTCCCTCTCCAGCCTTTTAAACTCAAAAGAAGGGATGGTGACTTCCTTATCACCTACACTTTTTAAAGGAATACCTTCTAAATTCAGTTCTTTATCTTTACTTTTCAGGACCCAATGGTGAGTCAGGGGCTGCAGTGTCTCAAGAGTTCTGTTTCCTCTACCACCAACCTGTACACACAGGCCCTCCTTGCTTATACATTCTCTCTGGCTGGGGACATGGACGTCAGAAACATTCTTCTTGAAAAGCTAAATCAACAGGCTATCATCTCAGGTATGTTGGCCATGTTAGCTTTTGCTTTGTTTTTTTGCCACACTGCATGGTATGCAGAACTTCCCAGACCAGGGGTCAAACCCACTGGGCTGCCAGGGAAGTCCTTTTTATCTTATGTCATGATGTGTGGCTTGCAGGATCTTAGATCCCTGACCAGGGATCAAACCCAGGTCTACAACAGTGAAAGCTCTGGGTCCTAACCACCGGACTCCCAGGGAAGTCCCAGTTCTTTTGAAATTGTGAAAAGATGTGAAAAATTTCCCTAGTCTCCATAGTCCCACATATGTTCAGTTCTAGGATTCATTTTAGTAAAAGTTAAGTCATAAAATCACTACTAAGAGTTTTGTGGGAAAACCCCTGAAAGTCCTCAAAGGGCATGTTATATTTTTAACATGAAGAGAAAATAGATGGTAGAAGCTGATCAGAAAGCTGGGCATTGGAGAATCCCCAGTTTAACAGTTCTTTGGTGTAAAGCCACTGAGGCTGATGGGGTAAGATGAACTTAGAGATATCTAGAGGTCCTTCTCAAACTTTGGATGTATTTAAGAATAATTTGCAATATTCTAGGAAATTCCTATTGGTCCAGTGGCTAAGACTCAGCACTTTTACTACTCTAAGATCTCTAAGATCCTGCAAACCCTGTGGCATGGCCAAAAAAAAATTAGATATTCTAACAGATCTTGTAAATAAAATATTAATGCATATTATTTACCTAGCTCTTTATTTAAAATTATACTTCCAGGCAGAAATTTAATCTCAGCTTTCATGTATACAAATGTCATTGCTGAATTGTCCTCTCATCAGGGCTGTGGGTAGGTTTTTGGCCTGTGTATAAGCAACTCCAGTCCTGGAATGGGCGTCTCAGACAGTGGGCGGCGTTATACCTGCTCAGGTATATATCAACTTAATGTGATCATCTCTTCCTCATTACATTGCATTGTAGGCTCACATGTTTTCTTTTGTTCTTCCACTTAGACTGCCTCCTTTGGGCTATGTATTTATTATCTCTGAACTTATATATTTATATTAAAAATTTATTTTTTGGCTGTGTCAGGTATTAGTTGTGGTATGCAGGATTTTTCATTGAGGCTCACGGACTCTCTAGTTGCAATGTGGGCTTAGTTTCTCTGTGGCATGTGGGACCTTAGTTCCCTGACCATGGATCGAACCTTTGTCCCCTGCATTGCAAGGCATATTCATAACAACTGGACCACCAGGGAAGTCCCTAAACTTATATTTAATAAGGCTTCTAGCTCCCACTCTTCTCATTTCCACTTGCTGTTCTTAATCTTCAGGTTACCATTGTGCCTGTCATAGAGATGGGATTTGACCTCATAATCTATTTGCTTGCTCTCATTAGCATTTCTTCTATGGTTTCTCAGCATTTTTATACATATTCTGCCATATGTTATCATTGCTGGAGGCATTTATTGATGCTCCCAGCTTTACCCAAGGGAATTATGTGTGGGTGTACACACACGCACACACATACACAAATTCTTGCATACACATTATGGCCAATAAGTCAGAAGATTCGAGAATTATTTTTTTCTGATGATTAATTTTTGGTTGCTACTTTCTCCGATTTGGGGCTTTGCAGGTGGCTCAGCTATGAAGAATCCACCTGCCAATGAAGGAGACGTGGTCGATCCCTGGGTGGGGAAGATCCCCTCGAAAAGGAAGTGGCAACCCATTACAGTATCTTGCCTGCATAATTCCATGGACAGAGGAGATTGGTGGGCTACAGTCCATGTCAGACATGAGTCAGACATGACTGAAGCAACTCGGCACACTTGGTGCACACACATTTACAAAGTGAAAATGGGAAAGTCATTTCCTTCCAAGACTTTCCTAATCATGCGTTTTTCTCCATAGGAGAGTCCATTCACTGGAGCCGGAAACCTGCTCCAACTTCAGATGCCAGCCCTTGGTCTCAGCCTGAGGCTGTAGATGTGGAACTCACGGCTTATGTATTACTGACCTTGCTTAGCAAAGATGACCTGACTCAAAAGGAGCTAAGCAAGGCCACCGGCATAGTGGCTTGGTTGACCAAGCAGCAAAATGCATATGGAGGCTTCTCTTCCACTCAGGTAAATAGCTTGTTCTTCTGCCATTTATCAGGCAGGATTGGATCCCACATGGAGAGAGATGAAAAACAATCACCCTTGCCCTCTAGGTCTGGGGACTAATCATTCTACAGCAAGGGAGAAAAATCATGTTTGAAAAAGACATAGAAGGATTCATAAAATTAGGTCATATGAGCACATAAATAGTACTATACATATTTAAGTCTTACTTTGTAGAGTACGAAACATCACAAGATCCATGTTTTACATGTAAAGAGGACATGTATAATTGTGGCTAAATTTACATAGTCACAAATTGGAAAGCCAGTTATGGGGTCTGTAAGCATAAAGGCACGACTTTACGGGCATACCTCCTTCTTCTATTTCAGGTATGGGAAATCTGGTAAGACATAGTCTTTAAAAAGTTTACAATCTAGAAGGAAAGCTAGGAAAAGTTGTATATACTACAAAGTAGGATCTGTCTTATTCCTAGATGATGAAAAGATTGTCACATGGCATAATGGCTAAGGGGCTTCCCAGGTGGCTCAGATGGTAAAGAATTTGCCTGCAGTGCAGGAGTCCGGGACTCAATCTCTGGGTGGTGAAGATCCTCTGAAGACAGGAATGGCAACCCACTCCAGTATTCTTGCCTGGAGAATCTCATGGACAGAGGAGCCTAGCAGGCTTGAGTCCATGGGGTGGCAAAGAGTCAGACATGACTGAATGACTAACACATACACACACAATGGCTAAGAAGGCTTGTCCTTCAAGGATGGCTTTTCCAAGGGATCCCCTGATACCCTGTGTCACAGAAGATCTTTATGCAATTAAATAACTTGGAAGAACATGCAATTTTTAGGGCCATCAAGCTACTGCTGTTTCCTCCCCAAATAAGGAGACTGCAAAACAGACATTAGACAATGATCCCCTCACTCCTAATAATAACCTGTTCTGAAGCCAGGCTTCATTGCTGAGTATGAATATATGAAATTAAGCCTAACAACCTATGATGTCTGATAATAACTTGATGGTGATTTTCTATGCAGGTAAGATGTGATTTCTATGTGAGCTTTCCCAGCATGGCTGAATGTGGGTCTTAGAGTCTTAGAGAAGGTATCATTCACTCTAGCAAACACTAATCAGGTGTCTAGGCTTGAGGGTTGTTGGAAGTTACTTCCAGTGGCTCACAAAACAGTAAGTACATGCCTATTGTTCTCAGGACACCGTGGTGGCTCTCCAAGCTCTCGCCAAGTATGCCACCACTGCCTATGTGCAGTCGGAGGAAGTCAACCTGGCAGTGAAGTCCGCTCAGAATTTCCAGCACACCTTCAATGTTCAAGCTGCCAACCGTTTGGTGTTTCAGCAGGAGATGTTGCCCCATATCCCTGGTGTGTACACCTTGGAGGCCTCAGGCCAGGGCTGTGTTTATGCACAGGTAAGCAGAGCTTTGGGCTTCCCAGGTACCTCAGTGGTAAACTATCCACCTGAAATGCAAGAGACATGGGTTCAATCCCTGGGTCGGGAAGATCCCCAGAAGGGAATGGCAACCCACTTCACTATTCTTGCCTGGAAAATCTCACAGACAGGGAAGCCTGGTGGGCGACAGTCCATGGGGTCACAGAGTCAGGCACAACTGAGAGACTAAACAGCAACAACAAAGCTGAGCTCCGACAGGACTAGTGTGAGTTGGGGAGGAGAGTCCGAGAGTATCTCAACCTCCAGCAGAACCTTCTCTATCTTATTTGTAAGGAAAGTCATTCAAACCATACAATGTTTAAAATTCTCCCCAACTCTGATTTCTCCAACTGTTTTTTGTTTCGTCCAACTAGACGGTGCTGAGATATAATATCTTCCCTCCAAACACTGTGGAGGCCTTTAGTCTTAGTGTGAAAGCAAGGAGAACTCAGTGTAAGCAACATATTTCACTTGGATCCTTGGTGCTGACGATCCAAACCAGGTGAGGAGAGCAGAGAGGGGTTGGGGGGCATCTAGGATGGGGTGGCTGAGCTGGAGTGTGTATGGACGTGTGTCTGTGTATGTGTGTGTGTATACTGTGAACACACAGGGTGCCGAGAGGGAAGACAATGGGCTGACACAGGTTTGCTTCTTTCTGCCCTCAGTTATGTGGGGAGTCGCAGCTCTTCCAATATGGCTATTGTGGAGGTCAAGATGCTTTCTGGATTCAGTCCTGTGGAGGGCACCAATCAGTTAGTAAGTTGCTTCTGTTTTCTAGTTTTGAAGGAGGACTAATGACCATAGCTTTTAATTATCATTAAAAAGCTGGTGAGTTGGGCGTGATGGTTTATACATGCAACTAACTCATGATTATAGTTTCTAAATGGGCTACAAAGATGCATCGAGTATATGAGATTGAGGGCAGGTGGAGAAGAGGGCAACAGAGGATGAGATGGTTGGATGGCATTGTCAACCCAATGAACATGAGTTTGAGAAAGCTCCTGGAGATGGTGAAGGAGAGGGAAGCCTGGCGTGCTGCAGTCCATGGGATTGCAAAGAGTCATACCCGACTGAGTGACTGAACATAAACAGTTCAGTCTTGGAGCCAGTTACTGTCTTGGTTCCTTTTTCTTATGTTTTTCCATGTTAAGAAAACATATATTGCTTTTGTAACCATGGCAGAGCTTTGCAAGATGACCCTAGAGGATAAGAAAGGCTCTGGCTCTCAGTCTCTCTCTTTTTTTCCATCCTTTCTTATTCAGCTTCTCCAGCAACCACTGGTGAAGAAGGTTGAATCTGAAATTGACACACTCAGCATCTACTTGGAAGAGGTATGGGGTCAGGAACTGAACCAAAGAGCTTGATTGCTTATGTGTCTTTTCAACTTCTCTGCTAATGTACATGCACCAGTGTCACACACATGAGCTTGAACAACCTGAGAGGGTAAGTTCACAACCACTTTGGAGTAAGCCCTGTATAGCTCCTTTTGGAACAACTCTGGTGAGTGAACAACTCTGGGGCTTCCCTTACGGCTCAGATGGTGAAGAATCTGCCTGCAATGCAGGAGAACCGAGTTTGATCCCTGGATTGGGAAGATCCATTGAAGAAGGGAATGGCAACCTACTCCAGTATTCCTGCCTGGAGAACTCCGTGGACAGAGGAGGCTGGCAGGCTATAGTCCATGGGATCACAAAGAGTTGGACATGACCGAGAGACTAACACACACACACACTGGTTAGCGTATCAGGAACAACCCTGATATCATGATGCTGTAGTTTAAATGATGCTTTCCTACACACCTTCCCTGAGTCTCACATACCACCCCTCCTTCTATGTAAGGAGATTTAGGCTGAATTGATCAAGTAGGTGTGCTTGTCAACTCAATCTTTTTGTCAGGAGTCAAGGTGGAAGTTGAACCTTGGCATACTAATTTCCACAATGCCATTCCTAAGACTGCTGTGGCCAGATGGTCTATGTACCAAGCCAGATTTGTCAGTCAGCTTCTAACTCGAAACATCAAGTCTAATGGTCTAAAAGCCAACCATGATTATATCTGTGACTATTTCCTTTTTTCTGTGTATCTTTTCCTCTTTGCTCTTTACCAGTATCATCGGGGGCAACCTCATTCACATTTAACAAAAGTTACTTTTGGCTGTATTCCTCTTCTCTGCTGTTCCTTGTTATTTAATTATTTGGTTTTGGTGCTCTGTTTAATTAATTTCTTCCTTTTTAAAAATTATTTGTTATTTTTGGCCCCAAGGCTCGGGGGATCTTAGTTCCTGGACCAGGGATTGAACCTGGGTCCATGTAGTGCAAGCACTGAGTTGTAACCACCAGACCACTAGGGAGCACCTTTGTTTTGGGCTGAAGACAGGAGAGGATATTTTCTGTCATCTTTTTCTAACTTCTTAAATTGAATGCTAAATTTGTTTATTTGTAATCTCTCATTTTCTGATTAAACTATAAATTTCCCTCTAAGTATATTCTTTGTCCAACGATTTTTGACATGCATTGTTTTAGCTACTTACTTTTATATTTTAATTTTTTGAAAATTCATGGGATATTTAAAGCAACTTTTTTGTTACTAATTTCTAACTTTATTGCACTATGGTCTGAGATCATGATGGTGAGCTTCCAAAATGCATTGAGTTTTCTTTTGTGACCTAATATGTGGTCTGTTTTTGGAAATGTTCATTATGTTCTACAAAAGAATATCCAGGCCCTTTCTCTTGGGTCGGGAAGATCCTCTGGAGAAGGAAATGGCAACCACTCCAGTACTCTTGCCATGGATGGAGGAGCCTGGTAGGCTGCAGTCCATGGCGTCACAAAGAGTTGGACACGACTGAGCGACATCACTTTCTCTTTTTCTTTCTTTTCTCTTGGGTATGGATTTGATCTAGATCTAAAAGTCCAAAATGATTATTTCTGTTGTTCATGCCTTTGTTATCTCTGCTTATTTTTTCTGCTCCATCTATCAGTTTTTGAAAATCTGTCAAAATTTGTAATTACAGTGGTTGATTGGTCCTTTATCCATTTAGGTATGCTATTCTGTCAGTCATTTCTTGATATATTTTATGATTATATAGTTAGGGTTGTATGTTTTATGAACACATCTTTTTCAATTTCCTTTTTATTAGTATATACTGTCCTTCATTTACATTATATATATCTATATATATTTCTTTGCCTTAGATTTCTACACACATGTGCACTTTTTTTTGCTTTAGATTCTATCTGATCAGATGTTAAGTCTGCTATCCCAGCTTTCTTTTGGTGTATATTAGTCATCTGCTTTAAATCTTTATGATAACTAAATGATTGATGAGAGCAGTAGTTCCAAAAACATTTTCTCAGGACCCCTCTATACTCTTAAATGGTCTCAAAGAGCTGATGATAGCATGGGTTACATCTATTTATCTTATTAGAAAAGATAATGTCTTATCTTATTAGACATTTATCTTATTAGAAACTAAAAATGAGAAAAACATTAAAATATTTATTAAGTTATTTAAAAACAATAGTAATAAGCTCACTACATTTTAATATAACATTTCATCAAAAATGTATTTCCCGAAACAACAAAAAAATTAGTGAGAATAGCAGATTGTTTTACATTTTTGCTTTAATATCTAGCTTAATCAGAGAGAGTGAAATTCTCCAGTCTGCTTTGGCATTCAGTCTGTCAAAATATCACAAATCAAGTGGTCCCCTTCTACTAGTACAGTGAAAGAGAAGGAGAATGAAAAAAATGAATAATATCTTAGTATTATTCCCAAAATAATTCTGATCTCACAGATTGCCAGATAGTCTTGGGCATTCCTGAGAATTCCCAGACCATGTTTTATGAAGCCCTGTACCCACTCCAGTATTCTTGCCTGGAGAATCCCATGGCCAGAGGAGCCTGGCAGTCTACAGTCCACGAGGTCTTGAAGAATCAGTCAGAACTGAATGACTAAGTACACCGAACATACCTAAAGAAATCTCTTTCAAAATTTCTTCCACTTCACCATTTATAACTTCAAGTCTAAATTTATAACATAAGTCTTATTTTTTCTATTAGATTAATTTATACAATTGTCTTGAACTCTCCATTTATTCATTTATTCAACAAACAGTTTTTGAGCAATTACCAGATATTCTTTAACATGATAGAGATGTGGCAATAAAAGTCATAGACATGACTCCTGCCCTCATGGAGCTGATATTCTAATGGAGAGACAAACAATATGCAAAATTAAAAAATACACGTACATGCACAAACATACATATTTAGGAATAGTTTTAGTAGTCATCAGTGCTATGTAGGAGTGTGGTAGGGCTAAGCCAGGATGTGACTGTTTTATTTTATTTATTTGCCTGCACCGGGTCTTAGTTGTGGCACTCAGGATCTTTGAACTTCATTGTGGCATGCAGGATCTTTAGTTTCGGCATGTGAACTCTTAGTTGCGGCATGTGGGCTCTCCTTCCCTGACCAGGGATCAAATCCAGGCCCCCTGAACTGGGAGCTCAGAGTCTTAGCCACTGGACCACCAGAGAAGTCCAGTGTGATTGTTTTAAAGTCAGGTGGTCAGGAGAGGCCTCTCTGAGGAGATGTCATTGGATCAGAGAGCTGAATGAAGAGAGAAAACCAATCATGTGTATAAAGCTGTTGAAGGATAACGGAAGCTTCTGTTCCTTTGGCCACTACACTTAATTTAGTAGAGGAGCTATAGCTTAGACCAGACCAAGAGTGGACCCATTTTACAGAAGGGCCAGGAAACTGTAAGATGCTGAGAAGAAAGAGCCAGAAAGACAGCAGGAGGCAATTTTGGGAGTGGCAAGAAGCAGAGGTAGAAGGGTTTCAGGAAATCTGTGTGAAGACAGCAAGAGTCTTTCTTTTTTTTTTTAATTTATTTTTCCTTTTTAAAATTTATTTTAATTGGAGGCTAATTACTTTACAATATTGTGGTGGTTTTTGCCATACATTCACATGAATCAGCCATGGGTGTACATGTGTTCCCCATCCTGACCCTCCCTCCCACCTCCCTCCCCATCCCGTCCCTCAGGGTCATCCCAGTACACCAGCCCTGAGCACCCTGTCTCTGCATCAAAACTGAACTGGCGATCTATTTCACATATGATAATATACATATTTCAATGCCATTCTCTCAAATCATCCCACCCTTGCCTTCTCCCACAGAGTCCAAAAGTCTGTTCTTAACATCTGTGTCTTTTTCAGCAGGAGTCTTTCAATCTCCACATTGCAGAGATGTTATTTTCACTTTTGTTTTAATGGGATTTTGTCTGTCTTCCAGCTCGGAAAGGAAACTCAGACCTATACCTTCACCATCAGCCAAAATGTGTTGGTCACCAACCTTAAACCAGCAACCATCAAAGTCTATGACTACTACCTGCCAGGTGAGGGCCAAGATTTATCTGCATCTCCTGACATATTTCTGCCTCCTTCTTCATGATCTCTCTCTTAATTTTCCAAATACTCTTTTCCAAGCCAGGTGTACATCATTATCTCATCTCCTAACACATTTTGATTCAGTTATATGCCATTTTTAAAAAGTCTTCTGAACAAGACATATTTTATACAACATGGTCCATAGACCAAATGAACAATATTCTCTAAGGACTATCTATTCTTAATATGTTTGCTGAGATGAATAATTTACTGCAAGCATGCAAATTTTAGTCATTGAAAACTTGCTGTATTCTGAATATACTCGTAGCCTACAGAAATCTTTTGGAAAGGGTTCAGGCAGTAACTTTTGTTCTAAATGGATTTTTTTAAAGAGTAGCTTCTAAAATTTATTTATTTTAATTAACTTATATTATTTTTGGTTCTACTGGGTCTTCATTACTGTGTGTGGGCTTTCTCTAGGTGCGGCGAGCAGGAGCCACTCTTTGTTGTGGTGTGTGGGCTTCTCATTGCCGTGGCTTCTCTTCTTGTGGAGCTTGGGCTGTCGAGTGTGGGCTCAGTAGTTGTGGCCTATGCCTTAGTTGCTCTTTGGCATGTGGGATCTTCCTGGACCAGGGATTGAACCCGTGTCTCCTGCATTGGCAGGCAGATTCTTCTTATCCACTGTACCACCAGGGAGTCCTAAACCAATAACTTTTATGTAGTTTCTCTCTGAATGTATGAGGTCTGCAATATAATGATATATGTTCTTTAATTTTACAGATGAGCAGGCAACAGTTCAGTATTCTGATTCCTGTGAATGAGGTAAGCCCAGAAGAGAGAAGGGTGGGCTTTGGGGGTGGGATGGTAATATTTAAAAGTTAAGCAGTCTTTCTGAGTTACTAGTATTATCTTTTGGAAGCTTATATTTGATAAAAATGAACTTTCCTTTTTTGTCCTGAATTCTTTTATTTAAAAAAATTGAGGTACAGTTGTACACTATGTCCTGAACTCCTGGAAAAAAGAGTAATCATCTCATTGTTCACAGAAGAAAAAGTTAATAGTGGTAGTTGTATGAAGGGGTTCCATGTGATTTTTAAAACCACTGTTTTTTTATTTTTCCAGCTGAAAAATTTTCTAATTATTAATTATATATCTTTATATATAAAAATACTAAGACAAAGTAAAGGTGAGCTGATTCTACTTCCCTGAGATGACACTCTTACTAATAATCCCATCCCGTGTTTTGTGGGATTCTTTTTTTTTTTCTAGACAGAAAAAAGCTCCTCTATAATTGTGAAGACTTTCTGAGTATCATGATATCTTCTGTCTTTGTTTTTCCCCCAGGAGAGAAGTTGGAAAGAGACTAAAGAAATCCTCCATGATGTCGCTGAACAGCATTCTTCTGAAATGTCTCTGAAAGCAGAACTCATTCAGTTCAGTCAAACAATTTGATTCCTCTTGTGAAAAAATAAAATGTAACCAAGTTGAACTGAAGATCGAATTGACTCTGTGAGGTGATTCATGAATTGCGCAGCATTCCATCTAGCAACCAGAAGGATGCTCCAAGACATTATTGTTGCTGTTCAGTCACTAAGTCTTGTCTGATTCTTTGCGACCCCATGGACTACAGCATCCCAGGCTCCTCTGTCCTCTGATATCTCCCAGAGTTTGCTCAGATTCATGTCCATTGAGTCTGTGATGCTGTCTAATCATCTCATCCTCTGCTGCCCCCTTCTTTTTTTCTTTTGCCCTCAGTCTTTCCCAGCATCAGGGTTTTTTCCCTGTGAGTCAGCTCTTTGCATCAGGTGGCCAAAGTATTGGAGCCTCAGCTTCAGCCTCAGTCCTTCCAGTGAATATTCAGATCTGTACAAAAGGAAATTAGCAAAAGAAAAGAAAGGATTATTTTTAGGCCAGGACATCTTCTTTTGGGGGGGTTGGAGGGGAGAGAATGACAAGGGTTTTACCACATAGATTGCCTCTTCTTCCTCTGGGGGATGGAGAGGGCCCACGTGGCAGATGATCTCATTGGTGGTGAGCAGAAAACTCTGGAATAGTTGATTAAGATTACATTCTGGGGGAAGGTCAAGACTGCAAGTAGGTTAGGTATTACATTTAGGTTTGGTATCAGGGGATTTAGCACAAGTGACACCATTTTGGGCCTGTGGTTTTTCTCTTTAACAGTCTGATTGACTAGTGAGTGGGTAATGGATGCACAGACCTGAACCTCAGCTACTTTCTATGGCTTCACAGGTGCAGAGGTGCCAGAATAAAGTGCTGGGGAAGATGGCCTAGGAATCACCACACGCAGGAGGAATGATACAGGAAATCCCCTTGGAGTAGGATCATTGGTTTAACCATTGTGTTGAGCCGTTTGGGACTCTCCAGAGAGGAGAAGATGGTAGAGGTGTTCCAGGGAAGATGAAAATGTCTTCATGGAGTTTAAATCTAAGGGAAAATGTGATTTAAGTATTTGGGAATAGACTAAAAAGATTCTTTTTTCTTCTCTTTGAAAAGAAAATTTGTGCACTTGACTGCATATTTCCATGGATACCAAAGGTTCTCTTTAAATCTGATGATTATTCTTTAACAAAAACTCACATTATAGTTTCTTCTTTGAAACTTTTGACCCAGACTTCGCCAAGAATCGAGTTAAGTATTCAGAGAGCAATCCAAAGAGAATCGTAATTAAGGGGTTGCATTCAGCCAGTTGTCACTGCAGGGCAAACAGTGATCAATAACAAGAAAGTGGCTGCCAGAGTTCCCTTACTTAGTGGCTTTGCTTTTGTCCAGCCTTTTCCCATTTGGGTTACCTGTCACAGGATAATCTTCCTTGGGGAAATGTTTTTGTTTTGGAAACAAGTTTGGAGGCAATGGGAATAGCAGTGGAAGATAAATGATATTTAAACAGAGAAGATTTTCCAGGTAATTACACCCTTTTACCCTGGATGTCCACACTCTGATCTTGCTCCTCTAGGTCAGAAACTCTGACCAAAGAATCAGGGAAAAGTAGGTCCATGATGTACAGATATTTCCCTAAACCCAAAGCCATGCTTGCATAAACTGTTTGTTCCTTATCTCCGCCAACCTAGATGTTGCCCTGCTCCTCCTAGGAGTTTCCAAAGTGAGAGAAGATGGAGAACGTATCCCAGAAGACCATCTCTAATCCTGCCTTACCCTTTGGTATCATGTGAAGAGAACAGAGAACCCTAAAGAGGGCAGTCATGGGACTTCCCTGGTGGTCCAGTGGGTAACACTCTGCACTCCCAGTGTAGGAGGCCCAGGTTCAATTGCTGGTCAGGGAACTAAATCCCACATGTCACAACTAAAGATTAAAGATCCTAAGTGTTGCAACGAAGACTGGCACAACCATGTAAACATAAATAAATAATTTTTTTTTTTTTAAAGGAAATTGTGAATGCTCCTCCTACCCAATGAAAGTTCCAGCCCCCTACTTTTAGGTCTGTAGTTCCTGCCAAAACACGTCCTTTTTTGCAATGGACAGATGCAGTGGTCTTTAAGATTTAGGAAGTTATGTCTGGGCAAAAAAGCCCAAATCAAATGATTATAAGAACAATTGTGTCTTTTGGATGGAAAGAATTATCTCATGATTTAAGACCGTCAACTATATTGAATGAAGAGATGTTCATGAGAAAATTCACATCATTCAACTTATTGAAATATAAACATTTGTGCATACTTGAGAAGCAAGGTGATTTTAGGGATTAAATAGCTTTTAGCATCAAAGTGACGGGGACTTTCCTGGTGGTCCACTGGCTAAGATTCTAATGCAGGGGGCCTGGTCAGGGAACTAAATCCCACATGCCACAATTAACAGTTTGCATACTGCACCTAAAGATCCTGCATGTCACAGTGCAGACCCAGAGCAGCCAAATAACATTTTTTTTTTTAAGTGACACAGTGTTCTAATATATATGGTTAAATATTCAATACATGCATTTATTAATATGCCAGGTACTTTGCTCGACCTGGGAATACAAAGATAAGTGAGCTCACAGACTAGTGGAGTGAGAAAACAAACACATTAACAGTTGTGATACAGTGTGACCAAAAATAACGATAGAACAAGTACAAAAAGCTATGGGAGTACAGAGGAGAGGTATCTTCCCAGGTCAAGGTGATAGGGTGTCAGGAAAGACTTCTTCAGATTGGTGCCTGAGATGGATGAGCAACAAGCAGAAGAAGAGGGAGCAAGTTTGGGCAAAGTGAGTAAAGTGAAGTGAAGTGTTAGTTGCTTAGTCATGTGCGATGCTTTGTGACCTCATGGACTGTAGCCTGTCAAGCTCTTCCATCCATGGGATTCTCCAGGCAAGGATACTGGAGCAGGTTGCCATTTCCTTCTTCTGGGGATCTTCCTGACCAGGGATCGAACTCGGGTCTCCTGCAGTTTCTTTACCATCTGAGCCACCAGGGAAGCTTGGGCTATGTATGAAAGACAAAGGAGGAGAAGAAAGCATGGTATTTCACCGGAGTAGTTCAGTGTCCTCCTGGGTGGTGTATTTGTGTGTGTGAGTGTAAGTGGCAAAAGGTTAGGCCAAGAATTGCTTTTTAGAATGATCATTCTATCAACAGAGTGAAGAATGGAGTAGAGAATGGTAAACCTGGGACTTCCCTGGTGGTCCAGGGGTTAAGACCCTGCACTTCCAATGCAAGGGGCGAAAGTTCAGTTCCTGGTGGGGGAACTAAGATCTCACATGCCTCAAGGCTCAGCCAAAAGAGCAAAACAAAAAGAGTAAAACTGAAGTCCTCAAAATCATTTAGGAGGCAATACAGCAGTCCAGGTAAGAACTGGTAAACCGGCAGGGGGGTAAAGAGGAGGGGACCTATTCAAAAGTTACTCACTGAGGAGACAGCCTCAGGAAGACACAGGGATATCAAAGATGAAATACACCAGACAATTAAGCAAATGGTTTTATTCATCCTGTTGCAATGGAGAGCATGTTCATTAATGAAGACAATCTCATGGAAAAGAAAAGGGACCTGAGATTTTACAGAAGGAAAACTTAGGGAGTTGTGCATGGAACTTATTGGAGTCATGAGAAGGGCTGACATGAGTCTTTTCAGAGTATATACAAGAGTAGCATGATTCTTTGCTTTGAGCTGTTTTCCTTGACACCAAAGGTTTTGGGGTTTGGAAAACAAAAAGATGGTGGGATTTCTTAACTGGCCTATTTTCCAGGAACACAGGCTCAGATAAAGCTCAATCCTGTCAGTGGCTGATTGGATGTAAGATAAGAGAGTCATGGAAGTATCTGGGAAGATATCAGGATGCTAAACTGTAAGAGAGGAAAATCTTTTCCTCTACCCTCTTAGATTCAGTGACTGAGGCCTGTGAATAAATTGGCAAAAGACAGATTAACAGGAGAAAAGGCTGCTTTCGTGTTCATGTCATCGTTTCAATGAAAAAAAAGAAAGGAAAACCCAAAGAAGCAGTCAAGCCTAATTTAAGAGAAATGACAAAACAAAGGAGAAGGTATTTAGGCTTCTAGGGGTTGTCAATGGTGGGATGGTAAATATACAGGCAAAAAGGAATAGGAGGTGAAGGTTATTTTAGTAAGGCTTTATGAAGATGAAAGACCGTGCCACTTAAACAAAATGTTTATTTATTTAGTTGTGCCAGGTCTTAGTTGTGGCATGCAGAATTTTCACTGTGGCATCCGAGATCTTTAGTTGTGGTATACAAACTGTTAATTTCAGCATGTAAGATCTAGTTCCCTGACCAGGGATCAAACCCAGGCCTCCTGCATTGGGAACTCAGAGTTTTAGCCACTGGACAACCAGGGAAGACCCAACCTTTCCTAAT